AGAGTAAAATGTTGTCCAAACAACTGTATTTTTCTATCTCTTAATAGATATATTAAATACTTTTTTGTGGGATAACTAGCCTTATATAACCAACATGCTTAAGTCTAATTAATGCATGAAGGGGTTAAAACCATAGAGTAAGCTGTCCTGCTAGGCTTAGTTCACCTTGGAAGGGACTAGGACTCAGGGCTCAGCAAACTTTTTCAGCAGGGGGCCGGTCCACAGACCTTGTGGGGGGCTGGACTATATTTTGGAAGAAGAAAAAAAGAACGAATTCCTATGCCTCACAAATAACCCAGAGATGCATTTTAAATAAAAGCACACATTCTACTCATGTAAGAACACATTGATTCCCGGACCGTCCGCGGGCTGGATTTAGAAGGCGATTGGGCCGGATCCGGCCCCCGGGCCTTAGATTGCCTATCCATGGACTAGGTAATCAAGCCTTTGTCCCCCCTCCGTTTATCTGAGAAACTCAGCTTTTGAGGAGGTCTCAACTGGTTGCTCCAGTTCAGACTGCATGGCTCTCACAAGCCGCTCTTCAGTTCCTATATCAATAAACCACTGTGACATATATTTATGATGCAGCAGTATAATTTTTTTATATATCAATAAATAAAATGTAAAAAGAGGAAGAAGCTCTCCAGCCTAGCAGCCCATGATTCTGGAAAGTGTGTGGGAGGCAAGGTTTGGAGTAATATAAAAACAAACAAACCTACAATTCAAAGAAAAAAGAACCTGAAACACACAGGATTCTAGTCACAAAAACATCCAGAACATGGTTAAAGCAAATTTTTGATATAATCACACCAAACAAGGCCACAGATTTAAATGGATGGCAGACACTCAACCATTTGTTATAGGGAGAAGTCCATCTAATTAAAATCTAGCCGTCTGTGTTATGATTGATATGCATTATTATTATTATTATTATTATTATTATTATTATTATTATATAGGATATTTTTGTGGGTTTTTCCAGGCAGGCTGTGCTTAGAATGCACTCAACTGCACTGTCAGTCAAGGAAAGTGAGATGAAGTTATCTAATTTATGTAATTATCACAGATCATTTCTCTTGACACAGGAAATTAAATGGAAGAAAGAAGCTCATAAGAGTCTGCCAGACTAGGTTTTCTTACAAAAACAGTCACTATCAACACTGAAATGTTTTTTACTATGGGCTCCAATACAATGAGAGTTACTTATGACTAAAGCTGCAATCCTATGTACCTTTACTTGCCGAGAGTAAGCCCCATTCAAGTTAATGGGGTTTACTTTTGAGTGGACATGTACAGGACTGCACTGTTAACCCTGTTGAAAGTAATGGGAGTTAAGCCAACCATGATTAACTTGTTTCATTGGTGTCTTGGTGACTAATAACTAACTTCTGCTGTATTTGGGCCATGGTTAATATCTTTCTCCCCTCACACTCAAACAAGAATCCCCTATTCTTATGCATTGTTCGTTAAAGTACTTTCTTTTTAAAGATAACAGATTAGAGCCAAAGAAACATAAGCAAAAATGAAATAGCCCAAAGTGGGGCTTGAACCCATGACCCATTTAGAGTCTCCTGCTCTACTGACTGAAGTGTCCATCATGAGCTGTCTTACATAACTAATTCATAGCTATGATCAGCACTGAGCTGTTGAGGAAGAGGAAACTGCACACAGCTTGAAAAAGTGGATGTAATACAACATTTATGTTATTTATTTACATTCAACATGGAAAATAAAACTGGATTAGTCAATTTCATTCCCTGTGGTTCAAGCTCCAGAACAATATTGTTTTGCTCAATAGCAGGGAAGATGTCGAAATGGAGATCAATAGGAACAGTAATTCTTTTTGAAATAACAAAATGTGTTGAAATTGGTTTTCCCTGTTGCTGTTTCGAACACGTTTCCTCTTAGAAACAAAGACCAAACAAACAATTATTCTACTGTAAGTAATGGCTTATAACAGATGAGCGAACCCTCCCAATCTTATTGTTAAACCAAGAAAGGCACATTAACTACCTGGCTATCTTCTGAAATCCGAAAATTAGTATGGTTTCTTCCAGACCAATTATTTCATTCCAAAAGTAAAAGCTCAGTGCTGTTTGATTCTGCATTGCTCTCCAGTGTACCCATTAGTAAATGGATAGATGACAGTCCCAGCACAAGGAGTGGAACCCATACTATACCATACCAAGATCGCAACCACCACTTCTTTCTTCATTCAGCTGGGGCATGTGTGGGGAGGAATTGACGTGGCCTAGGACCCATGTACCTACGGGACCACCTCTCCTGGTATGCCCCGCGGAGGACCTTAAGGTCCACAAATGACAACACTTTGGAGGTCCCAAGTCACAAGATGGTTAGATTGGTCTCAACTAGGGCCAGGGCCTTTTCAGTACTGGCCCCGACTTGGTGGAATGCTCTGTCACTAGAGACCAGGGCCCTGCGGGACTTGACATCTTTCCGCAGGGCCTGCAAGACACAGCTGTTCTGCCTGGCCTTTGGTTTGGACTCAGTCTGCCCCTTATGTTTTCCCTCCCCTTACAGTTTTTGATCTATGGGCTATTTTTAAAATGAGGCTGCATTTTAAATTGCATTTTAACCTGTATTTTAAATTGGTCCCCCCCCATTACATTTTTATTGTAATTTTACTGGTGTTAGCCGCCTTGAGCCTGGCTTTGGCCGGGGAGGGCAGGGTATAAATAAAATTTATTATTATTATTATTATTATTATTATTAGCTAATCAATGGGATGATTTTCAAATGTGCATCATGAAAACTCACTGACCCTTGTGGATGGCAGGATCTAGATTTGATCTAGGTTGAAAGCAGAATTGCTGAGGACCAGCACCCATGATCCTGTCTTGAGGAAATCGTCTGTGCACTACAGATGAGTAGGTGTGCACACAGTCAGCAAGGCCAGTGTTCAGGGACGATGGGAGTTGTAGTCTAACAACAGCAACAAGCATAAGTTCCTCACACCAGCCCTACAGCCCTTGGGATAGACTCAAAATAAATCCAGCTGTTTGCAGGACAGTATGGAATCTGAGCATTTCACCCAGTCTTGAAGACAAAATCTGGTATCTGAACCACCACTGTTCTGGAGTTTGGCGCCAACTCTAGCCCCTATAAACACATTTTAAATAAATAAAACCAAATTGAATTACAGAGGTTTATTCCCTTTTGTGGGCATAATTTCAGTTACTGTGCTGTTTCCAAAGAATGCAATTGTAGGTTTTGGTTGTTTTTTTTAAAGCCCTGTTGGCAGATTGTTATAAGAAACACAAAATTTCATTGACATGTGATTAAAGATTATTTCTCCCGCACTGGAATTTTTTGGCTGGGATGGTTTTGTTCTCTCCCATCCTTTATTATATGAAACAAACCGAGAAAACAAGGAAGAATTCAAAGATTATAAAAGGGGGGGGGACTACTTTCCTTCCCTGAGAAAGTTTCAGTTCCCTTTTATGCTTTTAATCAAGAAAGACTTGCATGAGATGGAGGAGGTTTTGAAAGCTTTCAATGGTCTGGCCACATAAATGCAGGGTTAGTGAGATGGTAAGAAAGATTGCCAGGAAATAAAGGAGCACAACCAAGCAGCAGGAATTGTGCATATTGTTGTGGTTGCCCTTCTTTCTCAGGCATAAAATAGCTGCCACTACCATCATGGCTTCCAAATCATGCAATAGAATAAAAGCGTGGTGCTATTTTTTCACATGGCCATGATTCCACCCAGGACTGAGCCAACAATACTCACTATTCTTTGCAAATATTTCAAGCCATGCTAAAAATACAACCTGCGGTGTTAAGGGAATCCAGTGTGTGCTTTACATGTTTGAGTTCTCAAGCATCTTGAGCAATTCCAGTTCAGGACTGACACAAAGCTCAAGAGTTCTTGAGAAGAAGCCCTAAGACAGTTGAAGAGAGAGATTTATGGTGGGCTTTGCCCATGCCCAATGCTGGTTAGAGTTTGCTGTAAACAAAACAAGGTACACCTCTCTCTTACTTATTGCAATTTTCCCCACGTCTTTGTTTAATTTGCTTCCACCTGCCCTCACTCTCAGTTGCCCTCAGAGATGTCAACATGTATCCAAATCTGATTGGCTATGCAGCATTATGCCATCATTCCAATCATGGCATGGTACTGGTTGGGTGGGATCACATATGTCATGAGTCTAGAAAGGAACATCAGCAATAAGGGTAAAAAGCTTCAGGAGTAGGGTGCCTAGATAGCATTCCCTCCTCTACATAACTGTCACAGGTTATAGGATCCACCCTGATCCAATGGGTTGAAGGGGGCTTTGATAGGGTTGAGATGTCCCTCCTTCCAACCTTGCCTGACTCTTCTGGTAGTGGGGAGATCCACTGGCAGTGGGGATGTCTTGCCAGTGAGAAGCACCCCAATGCTCCCACCTACCCAAATGGCAGGTGGGCAGAAGCTAGTGCAGGCTAAGATGGGATGCTGGCTCCTGTGCTGAGCATCCTGTTGTCATGCAATAGCAATGGCCCTGATCTGGTCCTCTTCACTGTTCCAGTCTGGGATCTGAAACAGTGAAGGGGCATTTTCCCCCCTGCCCACATTCTGTTCTGGTTGGTGTGAGCATAGAGACAGTGGGTGCAGTGCTAGTTGCATTGCTCCATTAAGCTGCACTGCAGCTGGCCAGGGGTAAAGTTTGTGCCCTAAGACTTCCTTCAGATAGGAACTTTGAAATAGTTTGTTGAGCTATTCCAAGCTGCATTTTAAAAACTTATTTGATTTCCCCCTAAAAGGATAAATTTGGATTAAATGGGAAAAAAAACATGGGCTGGCATTTTAATGCCAACAATGTTGGTGAGATGCTGCAAAAAAGAAAAGGTGGGGGGAAACGTGAGAAGCATTGACCTAACAATAAAAGCATCCATCCAGTGGATTTTCAGGATAAATTGCTACTGCATTTCTGCATTAGTTCTGATACCCCCGCCCAATTTCTTTTTTTAAAAAATGGTGAATATTGAATGCATTCCTAGTGTCTACATCAGGAAACAACTCAGCTATTGCTCTAGTGAAGGATGTTTGCCTAACATAATGGCGTAACTAAGAACCATTTGGGATTTTTGAATTTGCATTACCGCCGCAAACCTGCCAAGCTCTCATGAACTTGTGATGCAAGGGCTGAAATGACAGATAGATGTAGGTAAGCCTCAATGAAAACAAATGGATGCCAGTTCTTTCCTCCAGAACACAGGTGGTGTGCATTATGCAGGGAAAGCCAGCCAACTCATTTTGTTCAGGCAGGAGTGTGTCTAAGCCAAGCTTCTGACAGGCAGCTAGCTAGCCTTGTAGAGTGGAAATCTAAATGAGAAACTTACAGCAGGCTGGGTTTTAGAACCACTGATTAAAATTGAGTGTCAGTGCAAGCAGCATAATATAACCACTTTAATGTTGGATAAAAATGCTTGCAAAATAAAGGCCTAGTGTAAAGCAGCCAATGCAACGTATATCATGAGTGTCTTTCTTATCTCCCAGTGTCTCTGAATTCGCTGATTTACAGAAATGTTTGATTTGCTCATTTTCAGCACGTTCAGCCGTATTTAAACTGGCATGATAAAGGTCTGTCATGGGGTGACAGGCAGTAAGAGGTGACAGTTGCAACAGCTGGGCCACTCTCAAAAAGTTTTGCTTTACAAGAACAATAAGCAGCAGCACAATCCTACACATGTCTACTAAGAAATCAGTCCCATTGTGTTCAAAGGGGCTTACTGTCAGAAAAGCGGGCATAGAATTCTCTCTCTCATAGTAATCTTTTTTAGATATTAAAGCAGCAGGGTGGGAGTTATTTTTGTGTGGGTTCATCTCAAGGTGCTACATCACGTTTATAGCCCCACAGTCACATGTGCAGAGCTGATCGCAAGAGTCCCTCTCCACCAGGATCGCTTGGGGGGAGGGGGAATTGAGGATTTTGATGTAAGGACACCAGAACTCTACCACTTCTGACCTTGTGTCTCTCCTCCCTTCTCCAGGTCCAAGTCTGAAGTTAGAAAGCATGATGGGGGAGGGTTTTGTCTTTTTGATTCTGTGTGGCTGAGAGAGTCCAGATACTTTGGAGCTTAAAAGGTAGAGGTTTGTTGGTCTGGACTTGAGCTTCTGTGACCTTTGGATTGCATTGGCAATGCAGCCTTTTCCCAAACTTTGGAGCTAGAAATTGGATGGGATTTGCCATGTAACTTCAGGAGTGATTCCCACCCCTTCTGCAGCTCCAAGGCTGGGACTTGTTGCACTTGCCAGAGGACAATAGCCCATTAACTGTGGCGAGTGACAATGTGGAACCTTGTTTATAGTGCAGGGGGACATATCTGTCCTGCCTTCCTATATAGGGAGGTTTTTAATGTTTGATGTTTTATTATGCTTTTATATTTGTTGGAAGTCACCCAGTCAGATGGGCAGGGTACAAATAAAATCATCATCACCACCATCATGATATTTGTATCAAATGCTAACCATGTTAGTGCATGATACTGTGTGTGTGCTGACACAGCTACACAGATCTTTAATGAGATGCTGTGAATCCTTTGGAAGCAGATGTAGACCTATCTTTTCTTTTTTTTAAAAAATGAAAATGTAATCTTATATCTAAGTAACTAATTTTGGATGTCTTAGTGTGACTGGATACTCATCTTACCCATGGGTAGGCAAACTAAAGCCCGGGGGCCGGATCCGGCCCAATGCTGAAGAAGTTTGCTGACTCCTGCTTACCCATTAAAACAAATCCTATTACAGTCATCTTGTTCTTAGTTGCTGAAGTCATTGCAAGACAGCTTCTTCAACAGTTCATCCTTTTTAGGGTAATCTCTGCATGTTTCCAAGGTGAGAAGAGCTGTCCATGGTTCTGATTCCTTTAGCAATGTAACCAAACACCTTCAAAACCAGGTATTGTAGGTTGGAATTCAAGTGACTCCAAGCCCCTCTGATTGATGAGTAGCAGCAAACCTCACTACTCTTGATCAAGTCCTGTTGTCTCCTGTCCCCTCTCTGCTCTTTGTCTATATTGCATTGTGAACAGGACTTATCTACATCCTGTAACACATGGACACCCAGTATATATGCAGCAATTCTTGTAACGTTCTGTGAATTTATTTAACAGGATTTATATACCTTTAGTGATGCGGGTGGCACTGTGGTCTAAACCACAGAGCCTAGGGCTTGCCAATCAGAAGGTTGGTGGTTCGAATCCCCGCGACGGGGTGAGCTCCCGTTGCTCGGTCCCTGCTCCTGCCAACCTAGCAGTTCAAAAGCACATCAAAGTGCAAGTAGGTAAATAGGTACTGCTCCGGCGGGAAGGTAAATGGCGTTTCCGTGCGCTGCTCTGGTTCGCCAGAAGCGGCTTAGTCATGCTGGCCACATGACCCGGAAGCTGTCTGCGGAGAAACACCGGCTCTCTCGGCCTATAAAGTGAGATGAGCACTGCAACTCCAGAGTCGTCTGCGACTGGACCTAACAGTCAGGGGTACCTTTACCTTTACCTACTGTAATATACCTTTAATTGTCAAAGCCTCAAAGAGGTATCCATAAAATATATTATTAGTAAGCAGTAACCTTTTAACTGATAAAGTTTATCATCTTTAAAAAATAATAATAATGGATGGCTCTGTCTTGCAGCAATGTGATATGAACAGTAGTTCATGAAATGAGCATAATTTTAATAGGATGTGGATATGTATATGGTTCATATAGTGGAGTGCAGGGCTTCCTCATGCTCCACTGGCAAGTGGAAGCAGATACCACATTTAGCTCCAATTATGTGCTTTAAAACCAAGTACTAAATGGCTGCTGTGCCTTTATGCCTTTTCTCCCCCTCCCCCCTTTCCCCACTAACAGTGTCTGGAGAGACACTTTTGCTGATAGCAATTCTTGAGGCAGCCGCTCCCAGGACTGCTCCTATAATTCTTATTTGTTAAGTTTCCTTTTCTGACTACTTCTTATCGCCTTCTCTCTGCTGAATAGAAAGCTGACATTCTGATCATGGAAAGAAGCACTGAGCGGAAAAGCACATGAAAAGGAATATCAAATTGAAAGTACTCCCCCGAGTGGATGCATGTATAAATTGTAAGAAAAAAATAATCTCTAAATGCAGCCCTTGGGACTTGAATTATTTACACTCTTTTAATCCTCTTAACTTCAAATCAAGATCACTCATATTGCTTTACAGCCAGGCTTTCAATTGTATTATGCGTTCAGGAACAATTTCCTTGTCAATCATCACATTTAACAAATTCATAATCCGCTCGTGTTTTCTGCATGTATTTTGGGGGCCTCACACTTCTCGTCTTCATCCTGGCTTACTTTTATCAAAATCATATTTTCAGGTTCTCCACACAGTGGGCAAAGTAACAGGAATACAGCTGTCAGCAGCAAACAGGAAAGAGAATACATTTCCCCCTGTTATAAGCCTCTTTGGATGTGAATCAGCCAACCTTCAGGGAACCCGTGCATTTAGACTTGAAACTTTGTCTTCAATCAGACAAAAAGGTTAGACATTTGCACTCCTTAATTCCTGCTATCTGACAAAGCCCCTGAAGTAATATAACCTATTTGATGTATTTAAACTAAGGGTAGAGAACTGCCAGACTGTGATTGGGTGCAGCCCATGTTGTTTTTGAACCTGGACCATGTTCTCTATTCCCTTGACCCTATCTATTCCCTTGATCCTGCACAGAATTGAAGTCTAGTCCTTCCTACCCACCCCATCATTTGCTTGAATTAGAGCTTTCCCTCATAAGCCTAATTACCACATAAGGGAGTGGATGTTTTTAAGGAGATGCCAGCTGGGAAGAAAGGGCCAACTCTTCTGGGCATTCTGAACCCCTTCCCTTCCATGGAACAATCAATTTTAGGATTAAGGATCCGGCAGCATGTGTGTGTGTGTGTGTGTGTGTGTGCGCGGATAATTTTTGTGAGTGGCATAGAACAAACACCACATTCCAGGCAACTTGCAGCTCTGTCCTGCATAGCTACTCTTGTATAAGCAATGACTTCCCCCCTACTTACCTGGAAGTAAGTCCCACTGAATTCAGGGAGCTTACCTATGAGCAAATAAGAACAGGATCAGAAGGCATATCATATTTCTCTGCCCTTGTTAGAATCCAGCAAAATGCATTTTTCATTTTTAGCAAGCCTCCAGTTCAAGGGTAGTCAACCTAGTGTTCCCCAAATATTGCTGGACACGAATGTTGGCTACCCCTGCTCTAGCTCCTCCTGTTCTCACAGCGAAGAATGTCAGGATATAGTACTATATATCCCTACCAGGGGACATGTACAGAGATAATGTATTATTTTTTCTAAACTACATTGTTTTCCAGGTCCTTTTTTCAAGAATCTCAGCGGTTCAGTGTGTATTTGAGGGCTGCAAATGAAACCATTTCCTAAAAAACAGGATGCGAGAGGGAGAAAAAAAATACCTCTGCGGTGCTCCTTATGTCTACCAATTCTAAATGCCTGACAATTGTATAACTGAGACTGACAGCCAGGTCTGCAGGACGGTGATCGTTTTTCCCTGCTGGTGAATAATATAAAATGCTTCTCAATAGCTATCGAGAATGATGTGCAGATTCACATATGGAGCTGTGCAGGGACCAGAAATTATGTTAGAAATGGCTTCTTGACCGAGGTTCCAGAGTTTTATATCCATCCTAATAGGCTCCAGTGATGCTAAAAACAGCAAACCACCTGGTGTACCAAGAGAGCAGCGATATGAAGCTAATACCAGACAAAGGCAATAAATTAACCCTCTGTTTCTTTTCCCCCATGTGCAAGCCAGGGATAGCAGGACATCAATAAAAACTAGCCATAGCAGAGACAGCAAATTAATGTGCCATGCTGAGGTAATCTTTTGTGTGAAAAGATGTAGCATAATGTGATGTCCCTGCTTTTATTCATTCATACTTTGCAAGACTTTGTGGTCACATTGGTTAACTCTACCTCCCTCCAGACTTTCCAGTGCTGTGCACTAGTATGTGTGCCTCCACAGAAATGAGTGGCACATTATGGGTGATATGATTAGGAAGCAGTCGGAGTGGCTTTTATCGCTTGGCTTGCATCTGGAGGTATGATATCAAGGGACCACACTATAACTATATAATGACTTGCATATGCTTATCATAATTTGCCTATCTTTTACTTTTTCATAAAAACGAATAGAGCTGATTCCAAATTACAGTTGGTAGAAATAAACAGCCTATATTTTAAGTGTATTCTTAACCTACTTTTGCAATTTGTAAGTAAACTTGAACTTTGAATGTACTTTGAAATTCTGAAAATTGAAGAACAGTCCCCAGTAACTTTACAGGTTGAGAGGCAGGTTACAACTGTTACAGGCTGCTTGAAACGAATTGCTATAATTCTAAATTGATGAGGACCATTTGATACTTCATGTGACTCATCAGAATCTTGCACCACTAGATGTTCCCCCAAAAGGTTACTTTCTTTATTTCTTTCAAATGACTAGAGATATATTAATTGTCTTGAGGAAAAACATGACTTGGGGACAGGCTTCCCCTACACTTATGAGTATACAAGTGCACTGAATCTGGACTTTTATTTGTAAGCAGGGAAAGCCAGACTTTGTCAAGCTGCAGCAGAGAAGGGAAGCAGGGCTATTCCATCTCTGCTGAGAGACAAGATCCCTTTGGCTCTCCCTAACTATCTCCAAACACCAGCCCTTCCAGCAGGCTACAGATCAAAGGGAGGTAAAGGAAATTGGCTATTCTGTCACTGTGGTGGGAGACTAGTTGCTTTTGGCTTTTCCCCAATTTTCACTGAGAAGCCCCCATTCCATCAGGCTACCACCCCGAACTATTTCCATCCAAATTATAACAACCATATTATGAGAAATGTAACATTAAGAGCTGGTGCCTTTTCTCTCTTGTCTTTTATAGTGGAAATCCAAGGGCAGGGATTATCTTGTTTTTTAAAAATTGAACTGTAAGCTGCTCTGTGAGCCTTTTTGGTTCAAGACGGTGATAAAACAATGCTTTACACAAATACATGCATACATCTTTAGGTATAGAAGTTTGTATGCTTGCAAATTAAAAGGAAATGGTATTATAAATAAATCCCCATTGGCCTAATAGGGACCTTTTAGCTGTATATGTGAAAGCTCCTTCGATATCAGATTTTGATAGAATACCTGAATGGTTTGCCTAAATAGGGCTTGTGTGATCTATCAGTTAAGTCTATGGTAGAGACTGCGAGTTTTGATCCATGGCCCCATGACAGGGCATTCTCTACGGCAGCCCTTAAATCACAGAACTCCTTCTGTACAGAGGTGCAGCTGACACCTTCACTGTATAGCTTCTCATGAATGTAGAAGATACATCTCTGTGCTCTGGCCTTTGAAACCTGGGAGGCATGTTTGCAGGCCTCCCCCCCCCCCCGAAACTGTGACTGTAATTTGTTTTAACTGTTTTTAATATGAGTTTCTAAATTGCTGTAACCTGCCCTGGGACCTGCTGTTGGAGAATGGGCAATAAATTTAACAACTGAACACAGCCACCAGGGCTGCTTAGCATACTTAGGCAGTGCCAACAGGGCCCACAGCTGATGTCAACCCTGGGACCCCCTTTATTTTTAATTTTTTTTAAGACTAACACACTGAGCAATGAAAGGCAGCTGCACCTAGTCACCCTTTGATTGCCCACAGACTGATCTAGTGCCACTGTGGGAAATGTGTAAGTAGGAAGATGTCCAACATGGCTTGGAGGTAAGCCTGCTAGCGGGGGATGGTATTTTTTTTTTTTTTTTGCCCCAGGTGAAGCCTCCAGAGGGGCGCCATTGAGGCTCCCAGTCTGTGTACACAAATGTGTGTGGGGTGCGTGTGCCAAACTGGGTCTTTGACCCAGGTGAAATAAAGCCTAGTTTTGCCCCTGTCTGCTAGGAAAGGAAGCCCACCACTTGCCCAGGGTGCCCTCAAATATGGACCGCAACCAAGGAAAGTAAAATGGAGGAGGGGAGCCGACCCACTGGAGTCTGTAGCAGGTAGTGAGCATCTAGGGCAGGCATAGGCAAACTCGGCCCTCCAGATGTTTTTGGACTCCAACTCCCATTATCCCTGACCACTGGTCCTATTAGCTAGGATGATGGGAGTTGTAGTCCCAAAACATCTGGAGGGCCGAGTTTGTCTGTGCTTGATCTAGGGGTAACGAGAGACCACCTGCTTTGTGTTTTTTAAAAAAAGAACTCTGCTCCCTGCACTGTAAAGGGATGAGTTAGACAGAGACTGCTTTCCTCACTCTTCAGAATTGCTCTCCTCCAACAAAACATTCAGTTCGGGGCTTGGAAACATCTAGCACCCCATAACATAGCAGGAAAGCAGGAGGCGGGGAAAGAAGACGAATGCTTCTTCTACCACTTCCGCCCCTGCCTCGCCCCCAGTACTACAGCAGCTTCGAGGTTTCCTGGAATCCTTTGCCTCTCGTGCCATGGCGGGGAGGCCGATCATTAAACGACATTTCCCAGCATGCCCCGCGACAGCAAACTGGGCCGGGCTGCGCCGCAAACTACTGCTTAGGGGTGGGGAGAGCCGTCGGAAAGAGCGGTGCGCGTGCGACGGTCGCTTTACGACTGCCAGGGTCGGATCCGCTTCCGGAGTGAGCCACCCCGAAGGCAGCCGTTGCCGCCGCTCGCCGTTCCCCGTAACCTGGAGACGCGACAGCGCCGTTCGGCGATGGGCGGGAGGCGATTGTGACAGGCGGCGCTCTCCGTGCCCGCCCCCTCCTCCCTGCCCGGGCAGAGCGGGCCCCTCCAGGCCTGTCGGGATGGAGGAGGAGAGCATGGAGGAGGAGGGGGGCGGCGGAGGAGCGGGAGGCGGCGGCGGAGGAGGAGGAGGCGGAAGCGTCAGTAGCAGCAGCAGCAGCTACGAGGCCTTAATGGACGACCAGAACCACAACAACTGGGAAGCAGCAGCAGCAGCAGGAGGAGGAGGGAGCTACGGGCAGACGCGGCGCCGGCCGGGCTCTCCGTCCCCCGGGGAGCCCCACAGGGCCTCCCTGTCGCCCCACGAGGAGCTGGAGATCCACATGATGTCCGAGGCCGCCAACGGGCCAGGGAAGGGCTGCGAAGCCACGCCGGTCAAGGGGGGCTCCAGCATCAACCTCAACATCAACCCCTCGGCCTCCAAGTTCTGTGAGTGAGAGAGAGGCCGAAAAGGGCCGCCCTCCTGGCCAAGGGAGGCCGTGGCCCAAGCGGCCGTGTTCTGCGCCACCTCCATCCCGCCCCCACCCCGGTCGATCTGTTGGGGAGCTGGGCTGAGCAGAGGAGGTCAGCTTGGTTCGTGCTCCCCCTTGCACGGAGCATCCCGGCCCATTGGCCCGTTTTTCAGGTCGTCAGAAAAGCCCTGCTGCATCTGGCCAGGGGCCCAGCTAGTCCAACATCCTGTTCTCACCGTGGCCACCCAAAGATGTCCCAGGGTGGCCACATGCAGGGTCCTCCGCAAATAGCGGCTCGCAGAAACCGACATTCAGTTTACAGCCTGTAAATCCTGTGGCATTGCTCTGTCGTTGCATCTTAGTGAAAGGATGGGGGGTTTTTTTGCGGGGATGGGTGGGTAATAACCACAGTTGCTCTCTGGGGTAGTAATAATAATAATAATAAATTTTATTTATACCCCACCCTCCCCAGCCAAGGCTGGGCTCAGGGTGGCTAACAACCAATAATGAAACAAGTTGAATGAATACAACTTAAAAGCAAGATTAAAATACATTAAAACATTAAAATGCAGCCTCATCACAGGAGGAGAAAGGAAAAAAGAAAGAGGGGGAGGGAATCAAATTGCCTCCAAGCCAAAGGCCAGGTGGAACAACTCTGTCTTACAGGCCCTGTGGAAAGAAATCAGATCCTGCATGGCCCTGGTCTTATGAGACAGAGCGTTCCACCAGGCCGGAGCCAGTGTTGAAAAAGCCCTGGCTCTGGTTGAGGCTAATCTAACTTCCTTAGGGCCCGGGACCTCTAGGGTGTTGCTATTTATGGACCTTAAGGTCCTCCGTGGGGCATACTGGGAGAGGTGGTCCCGTAAGTATGAGGGTCCTAGGATGATGGGATTCTGGTTGTACCTGTCTTAACAGGTAAGGGGCTGGTGCTCTCTTCAGTTGTGGGTTTATGATTATTGTCCAAGTTGCTCCACAGTTAAAAAGTGCTACACATGGAAATGTTGAGAGATAACTAACTATGGGACATCTGTCTGATCTCTGGTGACATGAATTTGTGTGCTTATACACGCTAGAGACTGCTCTCATATGCCTGTCACCATATGTTCTCCAGCTGAGGATGGCGCCTCTTACTGCTTAAACTGTTTCCCTGACATCATCACAGTGTGTGCATGAATTGCTGCCCTCCCTAGTTTGGCTACATATGTGGGTATCGTTTTGGCTGTACAGTTCTTCTGAACACCAACAGACAGATTTATGCAGAATAAGATAGCCCTTCAAATAACCTGATCCCCAAACCATTTTGTTATGTTTAGCACTGCATATGGCTTATTTTACAGGGTAGTTGGAAGGATTGTTTTAATCAAGTGTGCAAGGCACTTCGAGCGTTTGGAAAACTGGGTTATATAAAATGATAGCTTGCTCTTGTACCAGTAGGTTTCCAGAGAAGCGTACGATAAAACATAATCAACAAAAACAATTCAACAACATGAAAGTACAAAAAGTTACCCAATGTGCATTTACTTTTGCATGCGTGCACACACATGCTTATGGAAGTGCATGTTGTTTGCCCTATTGTTTTACTAAGAAAAGAATAAATATTTGAGTTGGGAGAATTGCTATGTAAACATCTGTGTGTTTCAGGAGGCAATTGAATGCAAACATCTGTCAGCTTCTTTGCCCGTGTCCTCTGTGTTGGAAAAACGCCCGGGAAGGCCACCACCTTCCCAAGACACCGGGGCGTCTCTCTGGTGGTCACTCTCTGGCTGTAAATCTTTCTCGGTCCAGAGAGACTGGTGATAAGCGACCCCTCCCTCCTGAGAGGAGCACGCTCGTCTTCTAGCATCTCATTGCAGAAGAAAGAGACAATCAGTAGCTTTAAAACGACTTTATTCAGCGGTCTATATACAGAGACTCCATCAGCATGTCTGCTCTCTCTCAGCAGCAGTACAGAACAACATCTCACACAGAAGTGAAAGTAACTTCTCACAGTACTCAGACTCCCTTTCTCACGCTCTCAGACACTCACATGATATAAACAACCATAGTGCTACTTGCTGGGCAGCTGGTGTGATAAAACTCCTAACATCTGTGTGTTTCAGGAGGCAATAGAACAATTCAATGACATAAAAGTATAAAAAGTTACCCAATGTGCATTTACTTTTGCATGCGTGCACACACATGCTTATGGAAGTGCATGTTTGCCCTATTGTTTTACTAAGAAAAGTATAAATATTTGAGTTGGGAAAATTGCTCTGTAAACATCTGTGTGTTTCAGGAGGCAATTGAATGCAAACATCTATCAGCTTCTTTGCCCGTGTCCTCTTGTGCCACACTGTTCAGAGCCATGCCATAGATTCCCTTACTGTTACATCTGAATTTTCCCCACCACACAAACAATGAGCAGTAAGCCAAGAACAAACTTTGGTTATAGCTCATGATTTGTCTGGAGCAAAAAGGACCATAAACGTGGATTAAGATGTAATTCTAAGCCAGACCATGGCTCTGTTCCAGGTAGCAGCAGGGCCAGAGTAGGGCAAAATGACTGCAAATTTTTCTTTTGAGTACCCACATGCTTGTTCACATTTCACCATGGTTTGGCTTGGGGTTAGGTGTAAATGTATAATGTCTTGTCTTTAAACATGCTTTGTGTTGAAATAAACATATTAATGTCTCTAGCACACTGACGAGAACAAATTCTTGTTCTTGTATCACAGTGAAAAATGTGTTTTTTGCATCTCAAAAAATACGTTTTTTTCATCTCAAAAAATACGTTTTTTGCATTATAGAGATGATTTACATTTAAGACAGCTTTACAGATGTTGCTAAGAATGTTGGTGCAATTATTTTATCATTCTTCTCATTGTGTTCCATAAGTGCATTAAGATGATTTATTTTCTCTTATAGTAATGAATGTTATAACAATAGAAGACTATAAGAGCACATACTGGCCAAAGTTGGATAGTGCCATAGATCAGCTTTTAACTCAGTGTCCTGGTGACTACATCCCCATCTCCTATGAACAAATATACAGGTAAGAAAATTTTACAAGCTTTGTATGGTTCTGGAATAAATTATTTTGCATTAAAGGTTTGTTGTATATCAATTGTGTGCATAGAAGCTACCTTTAATGCACTAGTATTGCATTCTTGGGTAACAATTTTCATTTTAATATTAGATTTTAAGACTTAAGGTTGAAAGACAGGGTAAAAGTATGATAAAAAAAATGAACCAGGTAACACATTTTTGAAGTTTTCATTTATTGGAAAGTAAGGTGAATAATTTCAATTAATCTTGGGTTATGCATACAAAAGGAGGAAAAAGCTTCTAGCTGCTTTTTCCAGAATATACATATGCTATAACCTCTACCTTGTTCTTCCTTATTCACCTTTTCTCTAAACAGAAAACCCCAACTATTGTTACATTTCTTTATAAGGGATTTGCACCACCCCCTTAATGATTTTGGTTGCCATTTATTTTTTTTTTGGGCATCTTTTCCAGCTCTACAATAAACTGCATGCAGAATTACAAGGATTTGTATAACAGTGTTATGATATTGGCAGGTTTATTTTAAGTCCTTTTCCTAATGATCCTTAGCACAGAATTCTCCATTTTTTACAGCTGCTTGCTTCACACTAGGTCAGCATTTTCATTGAGCTATCCACATTGACCCCAAAATTTCTTTCCTGGCCACTCACCACTAATTCCTGAAATGCTATATACATTCTAGCTGAGCTAGATAACTCCCAAGCATTTTGAAGAGTTTTTACTTTCTTGACTTTCCCTTTCAACTTCCCTTTTTACACTTCTGTTGAATTTTGAGAAGGTTCCTCTTTTGAAGTATATGTGTGACTGCTTTCAGTTTCCTTGACAATTCCCCACTTCCATATATGTTGAACTTGATAGCCGTGTCATACAGTATGCATTTGGTTCAACAGCACTTTACATCCCCTCTTTACCACTTAAATTTAAGTCTTGAGTCTCTTCCCATCTGATCAGTTCCATTAGGGCAAACGTTTTAGGGCACCCTGAAATCTTACATCCCTGACTGCAATCACCCAGTTAATGTGTGGGTAATTTGTCTCCTATTACTACCGCACTTCCTCCTTAGAATGCTTCCTTGATTTGGATTCACAATCTCAAGTTCACCATTTTAGTTAGGGTAGTGGGAGATGACAGTATGTCCCTAACAATTAAGTTACTAGTGTCAGCCACAGTGGTTCTATAAAGGAGCCTGTCCCTTTAGGGAATTCTAGCTTTTTTGACTGTGTCCTCTTTGACTTACAGTCATCCCTAGTATGCACTTCCTGTACTTTCTGTAGGGTTTGAATCTAGTGATGACTGTGCTGCTGGTTCTCTTTGTTCCACCAGGTTTCCATTATGCCCGGTATATCTATGCTGTTCTTTAAAACCAAACACTTCAGCTCTCCCATCTTGTCTTGGAATCTTCTAGTATTGGCATATAAACACTTATAAATGGTGTCTCTCTCCAAATGTCTCTGGCACAATGTTTTCCACTATGGTGCTTTCAGCTCTTAGAATAGCTATCATGTACCCCTACACCTCTGTTACCTAGTTCTTCCCTCTCCCATTGGGACAGATCTATAGATACGTTCAACCCATCACTTAGGGATGATTTGTCCCAGGGGTTCTTTGTTTGTATTGCTGGGTGGTTTTTAATGTTCCAAGGACTGCATTAAGGTTATTTAGAATTATGTTTCGGTGAAACTCTTGCCGGTTTATTTCCTTGGCTCAGAATCTCTGAGTGTGTTGATGTCTAAGGTATAGTTCCTGGATCATCTATGATTGTGAAAATTTATGGAATATTCAAGGGCCAGCCAAATACAGTATGGATTACACTAATTCCTCAAGAGATATGAAGTGGCCTTTTTTAGTTAAAAGGAGCTCAGTGATTTTGGGCAGGGATTGGGTTGTTGGTACCTTCAACTCTGATTCAAATAGCAAATACAGGTTTAATGGCAACACTAGCTTGGCACTGGGGGTGTTGAGAACCCTCAATAAAATGGGCTGAGAATCATGGGTTACTTGAGGACCCCATGGAAATGAACAGAAGCTGTAATGCTGGCAGAATACCACTGGCGCTTAAACTTCAATTCTTTGTTATCCTCTACTTTCCTCATCTGCAGTCACTTGCTATGTGTACACACAGTGCTTTGCAGTGCTTATCTCAGGGAGCTTTGCAATGACTCCATGAAATAGGTGAGGCCGAGAGATGTTTGGGTCTTGTCCATGACCAACCAATTTTCTTTATTGCTCACCTAAATATTTGTCTAAAAGCAGCCCAGTGTCTAAAAGCAGCATTCTGTTTGCTGTAAGCTGACACCATCTGACTTGTGCTTTATCTGCCCCACTGTAAAATTATCTTTCTGAGAAGGACAGCGGAGGTGACCACTCACTTTTTGAAAATATGAACCAGGGTACTGTCATGTACCAAATGTCAAAGAAATTGAATGCATGTGCTTCCATTTCCTTTGTTGTCCTGGGAATTCTAACATGGGGCTGAAGAGAGGGAGATATACAGAGTTATACACAATTAATATAAAGTTAGTTGTGGTGTACAGTAGTCCCATTTATTTTGGTGAAGCTGTTTCATTCTGTTGCTTTATCCTGTTAAGATAGGCTCACTAATTAAAATGTTGCCATCCATTCCAATGCAAGTTGCTGTTTTTGTTTTTTTCCTGTTAAAGACAGGCACACTCATGTAGACTTAATTCCTAAATGCTTTGGTTTCATTCACAAGAAACTTGTTAGCATTTTTTTATCTGAAAGTAAAAAAAATGCATTTTTTTCTTAGTGATTCAGAAACGTCATATTGCATACAGTGGCCAAAACAGCACCATTGACCATATTACACATATGGGAAACAAAAGAGCTTTGACCATATCATTGCAGAAGTGTTTTGCACAATAAAATGAACAAGGGTTCCAAGACGTATGGTTTTTTTTATTAATTAATAAAACTTAATTTTAAAATATTTTATTACCACCAAATAAACACCCTTCTGATTTTTAAAACATAACAAGTTCATGGTTAGCCCATTCTACAAAAAACATATGGTACATGTGTTAGTTGTGGTTTATGTGCTGTGGCTTATTGAACCTACCAAGGTACAAAATGACTAAAATTCACTTTGAATGGTCGGTGAACCTTTTCTTTGGCATGTAGTACCATTTTTATACCTTCTTTTGAAAGAGACAAAAATTAGCTTTATTTTGATACCAAAATAAGCCCAATTGGTTGAAAAATAAGCAAAACAGCAGGTTTTTTCTAAACTGACGCAGAAATTGCATTAGTTTATATCGTATGAAAATCAAAATTTTTAAAAAATTCTCCTGTGCCTAATTTTGGACCAATTTTTTTTACAAAAATTAATTTGAGATTATCTCATAGGTATCTACACATAATTTTTTTTAAAAGAAAATCTGAGTCATGAGAGCACATTCGATTATTAAAATCAGGTGATTTGGTGTGGAAGGACTAGTAGAAAAATGGTTATGGCCTTGTATCTGAGAATTGTGGTAGTTGTGTTTCTGAAATTAAAACAGTGGTACCTTGATTTTCGAACATCTCCGTTGATGAATGTTTTGGAACTTGGAACACCGAAAACCCGGAAGTAAATGCTTCCGTTTTCGAACGTGCATCGGAAGTCTTCTGCTGAGGTACCACTGTATTTTTTTCAATTTTCTCTGTAAATTTGCAGACTGCCCTTTGTGCCTTGGTTTTCGAATGTTTCGAAAGTTGACCAGTCTTCCGGAACGGATTATGTTCGAAAACGGAGGTTCCACTGTACTTAAAAGTTCAAATGAAGCATTTTGGAGTCCCACATGTTATAATTGTTATTTAAATATAATTTTGTTTTCATTTTACTATTTTACTTTTGATCTGAGAACACTGCATGCATTGTCAGATATACTCCCTGTGTATAGTTTTGCTGCTGTTGCAATTTTGGAAAGTTCTTAAACGCAGTAGTATTTGGCAATAAAGGCTTTAGATGTTAAGACTTACGTAGATAATAACTTTTAATGGATTTCTCTTTTGAGCCCGATTAAATTGATGCGATATGTAGTAGAGATCTGGAGACACACACAAATTGCTTCAGAAGCAACTTCTGTACTTTGGGTAGGACCTGTTTCACCTTGTACTCAGGATACAGCCTTGATTTTGATTTTCTGAGTAATTTGATGTCCACCTGCTGACTACATGACAGCCACTGTCAATGTAAGCAGGAGTTTCTCTGCTGGTGCACATTGGGGCAGAAAATAAATATTGCATCCCCGAAAAAAGCTGGCAACAGTGAAGAAGTCCACACCCAGCATGGATCCTCTTGTCTCCACTGACTTGCATATGAATAATCATGGTAGCTGTCAGAGCCCCAATGCCTGTCTTCAGAGCAGTTCCTGCCGTCAATGACAGTGTGAGCAGGGATTGTGATGAAGGTGCTATCCTATATAGCTCCAAAGTGGATACGAAGGATCATAGACAGCCTTGTTTTTGTTTCAGGCCACATTGGTGAAGGTCTGAATACTTCTAAAACAACATTCTTTGGTTTGTTACTTGGGCTTGATCTGAAGTGGCTTCATGCCCCTTGATCTGTGGTATTTTCTAGGTCAAGATGAAGGAACAGCTTTATGCTGCTTAAGGTTTTGTGGCTTTGATGGAATTTCAGCCATACTTTAGATAGGTGCTCAGAACAGAACCACTTCCAATGTTGGCAGTCTTAGGTGGAATCTATACCAGTAGCTTTTCGTGCAAGTTATTCTGAGTTCAGTGGGACTTGCTTATATTTTCACACCATTTGTTTTGTTGTGCAAAATTTGTTTCATCAAGAGGCAGAGGAAGCTTGGAAATAGGCAGGAAAGCAGGGTGGATAAAATCAATGATTATTTTTTTAAAAAAATGGATTTAAATCAGATTGTTTAAAATTTAAATTGGATTTTTAAAATAAAATGCTTTTGGAGGAAAGAAATCTTTCTAAAGATAGTTTTCTGTTTAAGTTACATTATAGTCCAAAGGTTATTCATCAGGAAATAAGGATTTGTTTAAACATGGATACATATGCTATAATGTTATTGTTTTAGTTAAATAAATTGTTTAAATTGTTATTAAGGAAATGATTATTTTTCTCCTTCCAATAAAGTACAGCAGAAAAGTTGTCCAAAAATAAACAGTTCACTTACTAAACCTCACAATAATTTCATAATTACCAGTCTATGTACTTCTAATAGTATAACCAAATCAGTAATTTTTGATATAACTGAGAGAACTACTCTGAAAATTTATTATTCCAAAAATGAAACCTTCATCTGGTTGTAAATATTAAGATTAAACCAGCAGGAATAAGTCTTTCTGGGGGGGGGGGGGGAATGGTTTAAATCAAGTCTTTCTGACTAGTGTTTTAAAATTGAGATTTAAATTGATTTGATTTAAATCAAATCCACCCTGCAGAAAAGTAGAGAAAAGCACTAGTCTGGACACCCCTTCATTGTCTTTCACTTTAAGCAAGTCGTGGAACACTGATCACAGATGATTGCTGAAATGTGGTTACTACTAATTGCAGAACTGTCAGTTTCCATTCAGAAATAGCATCTTAAAATCCTTGTAATGTGCAGGTATTTCTGTGCTACTTATTTTGTTTGTGGTTTGTAGCTTGCATTGCTGGGAAAGCCAACAAATATTAGCTTAGCTTAATCTAAGCCTCATTTATTTTGATTTTTAGAATCTCCTTATATGGAACAGTTCAAGGTGATGTCGAAATGTCAAAATATACATTATAAACAATATCACATACAAAACCAACAGTTTAAACACTGTAAAAGAACTCAGTACAACGATGAGATCAATAACTCTTTAAGCAATCAAGCAATGAAACCTCTTCATCCCAACAAACGTTATATGATCACCTAACCTTTAAAACTCAATCAGCCCCCAAGAAGTAGCAGTAAAATACCTGCACTTAAGTGCCTAGGAGTAAAGTAAAGGAGTAAAGATTACTTGCTTAAAGTGAAAGACACTGAAGGGGTGTCCAGACTAGTACTTTTCTCTACTTTCCTGCCTATTTTCAAGCTTCCTCTGCCTCTTGATGACACACACTTTTGCCTGGCACCAAAATAATATCAAAGTCTATGCAAAGTAAGCCTCCTTAGGGAGAGCATCCATGGCATGGGGGCCACCACTGAAAAACCCTTCTTCTTTTGTAACTGTTCTCCAGACTTCTGCTGGTGGGGCACAGAGAGGAAGGCCTGTAATGACCTTGGGGGCTGGGTAGGTTCATATGAGAGAACTGGGTATAGGGGTCCTGCGCTGTGTGGGGCTTTGTAGGTTTAAACCAGCATTCTGTGCCTAACAGGGAAAGTGTAAATTAGTTGACAGGAATACCTTTATGTTCAGAAGTAAAGACTCTGAAGGAATTAGATGAAGCTGTGGTTAAAGTGCATAAAGCTTGAGAAAGTGGCCCATGTTAATACAGACTCCAGTCATGTGAATAATTATTTGATGGCTTTCCATAACAATTTGATACAATCAAGCTATTCTATTAAAATCCCAAACATTATATATGAGGCAGCCTTAACTTTTCAATGTTTGCAAGGCTGTCTGTAGGGAGCACAGGTTGTAGGCTGCTACAAAACTTGTTGGATAAATAGGGTCTTTGTTTAGGATGCGTATTGCTGAAGTTTCCTTTTAATTTTAAGCAGAATTTCTACTGGCTTGACATTTCTTGTTTTTCCCCCCCGTGCTGCAAACTGTTGTCAATTCATCACTGTTCCTGTATTTATTTCTGCAGTTGTGTGTATAAATGTGTGTGCCAGCAGCATTCGGAACAGATGTATAGTGACCTAATAAAAAAGATAACTAACCACTTAGAGAGAGTCTCAAAGGAGCTGCAGGTAAGAAGCTGCACAATTTTGTTTTCCTGGGATTTGGCATTTTACTGGGAGTAGTGTGCCACTGATCATTTGAAATGATTGTTATCACAGCTGTTACCTATGTAGAACTCAACTAAACCTTATGTGTAATGTGTGAGTGTAGAGCACTAACCTTTGAATGATTCCTCTAGGAAAATGAGGTTTCACTGTGTTTACTTAGGTCCTGTATTTTATAAAAGTGTCATGAACCAAAAGTTGAAATAGATGCAATGGAATATTCTCGACTCTTAGACCTCTAGACTTCTCTGGGATAACATAAAAGTGAGCCAAAACCAGAGCAATTATTAATGTATATTTAAATTTTCTAAAAACATTTCCTTAGTGGTTCATTATGGCACATCGTAACCTACCCCAGGTCAACACAAAAGTGCATTGTTTCCTCCCAAAGGAGCAGACATTACTATATTTTTGCCTGGGTAAATTCCTTTGTGTTTTAGGATTGACTACAAATCCATCGCAGAACTTCAGCTTTGATTGAGTCTTACTTAAACTGCTGATACACATTTGTTTTTACCTAGCCAATGTCACTTGTGGGTGACATTGCCATCTTAAGAGGAGCTCCCCTTTCTCTTAGAGTATAAAAGTTTCTTTTTGTTCATTCTTGCTTGCTGTCGATGATGGGGGCAAGCATTTAGTTCTACCCTCAGTACTGAGCTACAAATATCCTAATACCTCTATGCTATACATTAAAACATGTAGAGCTGTTTACACTTGTGGTTCAAAGTTGGGCATAAGGTGCAAAGGAAAGGAGAAGTACATTAAGAGAACAAGTATAAAAGTGAGTAGTAATAAGAAAAATTGTTAAGTCAATTTCTTACTCAGGGCTTGTAGAAAGATGAGAGAAGTGGTTAGAAGTTCCTATCCCCATGCATGTTTACTGGTTCTTTACTGGAATGTAGGGCTTTAATGGAGGAGGACTCCTGAGAGCAGCTGCTGCAACTACTGCTCCCTTTAATCCACCACTATCTTTTGTTTGCTTGTACTGGCTGAGTGGGGAAAGGCATATGCTTACAGACCCCACCATAATGGAAGTCTAACCTGGTTCAGGGTAGACATGGCCCACTGTACCCCTCTGCTTCTACAGTCACCTCTTCTTGGTCTCTGCCTGCTCTTCCTCCTAGCTTTGAATGTCCTTTGTAAAAATGACTTTGTTTTTCAAAAAAATCTCCAAAAAATCAAATCCCTTTAAAAAATCTGTGTTGCTTTGTTTTTACTTTTGCCTTTGTTGTTGTTGTTGCTGCTGCCGCCAGTTATCTTCTGTGAATCTGCATTTTCTGCTGTGACCATCATCTGTTATTGCAGATAGATGCTTGGATTAATCTTTGAATTTAACTGTTATTCGAGTTCATTAAACTATTCAGTCCTTAGTGATGCAATGCAGTGCAAGAGTTCTGCATCAGCATTGAATTTAGGCTTCCTTCCTGTTGGGAACAGGGTTTTTAGGTCTTTGTTTTCTTTTCTGTGAGCCTGAAGGCAGAGGTTGATATGGATAAATTTCAGAGGTGGATGCTGGGATTGATAGGCATATAAAGTTTGTATTATGTTAAATGCACAAGCCTTAATACATTTAATCACCGTACCTACAGTAGGTCTTTATGTAGTTTTTGTGTAGAATTTTTGGGGTCAGGTGTAGTGCCTCTTATAGTCATCCTGATGTCTGGCTTGTGGTATCCAGCATGCAGTTGCAGTTACCTGGCCTCTCCCAGGCTTTTGCTTTGTGACTGGCTTTACTGTTACACCTCAACCTTCTGGCTAAATAAATGAATAAAAACTTTACACTTGGATCCCACTTTTGTACCCTCGTGTTCAAGGTGATGAATATGTGATTCTCAGGCAGGTACCTATCCAGGTACCAACCAAACCAATACCTGCTTTATTTCAGCAAGGTAGTGGCCTTACGTGCCTTCAGATGATGGATCTTGCAGCCCTGAAGCCTGCTCACCCCCAAAATATGTTGATCCACATATGAGATTTTATTGTATCTCAATTTGTCAATCTTTGGAATGAATATTCCCATAATGAGAGGAACAGAAAAGTGTGTGGCAAGCCGCTTTAAGAAAATGCAGGCATTTACTAGGGGAAAGGCTAGCTTTTCTCTGGCCTCTCCCAGTCTTCTCCCTGCTCCTCTGTCCTGATAGAGATGGGAAAGTAAACATGATTCACTCCCAACTTCTAAGCTTCTTTAAGAAGATGCCATAATGTACATGTAATCTCATGCTTTTTCATGAATTATTTAGACACTCTCTCTATAATCTGTAAATCTTATTTTCAGCATCACACAATTTTATTGGCAATGATTCCACTGGTGTGAAGTGTCAATGTATAAAGGTTGTTTGCTAAAAAGAAAACTTGCCGCTGGATAGCACATTGTGCCTCTGAAGCATTATTCCCTAGTAAATTCAAATGTTCTGATACTTGCGTATTGCTTTCCTATGGAATAAGGTTGAACATCGTGATTAGTTATTAAAAGTAGTGCTTCCTTATGCTTGTTAAAGACTTCATTGCAAAATGTCAACATTGGTAGCTGAATGTTTTGAGGCAGCCGCAGCAAGTGTCCGCTTGTAAGTATTTACAAGTTAAATAATCAGCCATTTCTAAACAAGATGTTTTTTGGATCTACAATGAGATACTCATGGTAACCAGAAAAACCTGCGTGTATGTATGGTTTCCCAACTGTACTTATTTTTACTTAATATCCTTCAGCAGATATCTGATGCAGGTTGGCAGGAACATGAGACAGCCCCTGTTTCATTGTGGTGCCCAGAAAGCACAACTCCTTCTGTCATGTGATTTGCTTAATAATATTAATAGCAGAGAGTGGCTAACATATCTCTGCTATTCTTATTCTGATTCTTATTATTAATTATTAACCTGCCCTTCACCTTAAGGTCCCAAAATACATTTTTTATTTGTAAAACTTTTGACTTCCCTTTTTGTTTAACATTTTTTTGTTTTTATGGCACAAATTGGGATCCTGTGAGACTCCCCATTGGAGCTGGAGTTCAGTTTCCATCAGTGCCAGTTAGCAAAGTCAGTGGTCAGATTGTGGGAGTTGCAGTCCAACCTGTGGAGTAGGGCCACAGGTTCTCATTCACTGCCCTTCTTGTGCTATTGTTACGTTTTTTAGTTGTCATCGTGTTTTTATTTCTCTTGACTAGATAGAAGCTGCCTTGATTGCTCCCTTCTAGACTGGAAAAGTGAGCTAAAGATCTTACCACATAGCTAACTTCATATTGCCAGGCCTGAGCAAACAGGAGAATGTTTGTGTGTAAAATGTTCACAAGTGCTGCAGCTGGATGAACAATGCTAGAATTTCTGTAGCTCATTCCTTTCCTCTGTTTGTGTTAGGATTTTGGTGATTCGTCTTCCTAGTTCCCAGCGCTGGTGAAGGTGCTTGAATTCTGAAGGGGTCTGCTCAATCATAGGAGGAACTGATCAGTATCCAAGATGAGGCCAGAGTTGTTGCTGGTGCAATCTTGCACTGGTGAAACTGTAGCAAGGTTTGGCTTGAAAGGGAGGGTAGGGATAAGATAAGCAGGTTAAAGCTGAATGTGTTTGCCTTTCATAGGTTGGCACAAGCTTATGCTTGGTCTGTGACAGCCGCAGAGGAATGTTCTGTCTTTCTGCAGGATGTAACATATCCTTCAGAGAGTCCTTGCCTATCTCTCATCTAACATTAAATATTGTCATTATTTTAGCACTCGATGGATTTCTTTGTAATATTCAGCTCTTATCCCATTCCTCTATATAGTACAGTGAAGTACTAATTTTGCTTTTTGTGTGACTAGTGACAAGTGAGCTTAACTTTCAGTGAGCAACCTGAATAGATGATGTCTTCTGTGGACTCTTCACCAGCTAAAGGGGGGGGGGGAGGGTTTTCCATTTTGTAAATTGTACTGTAGGTGGCAGCAGAATGCTTTCACTGTCTGAATACTGTTTAAACTGCAGAAAAGACAAGATAGATTTTCTCTTTTGAAAACCTCGTAGCTTTCCTGTGCATTAGATTGTCTCATAGATTTACAGAACCTGAAGCTTTGTTCCATACTGACTGTTCCCTGTATCACTTACAACCTCCCTATTATCCTCCACATGCACTACACTAAATACAGCTTATGCCTGATATATTACCTCCCCGCTTTATGTCGCATAGTAACTGCTAGGTTTGGTCTAGCATAGTAACAACTCTGTAATTAGCCTTCCTTCATTATGCATCTGTAAGCATTCAACAAGTCTTGGAGATAGATGCGGATGACAATCAGTTGTCTAAATATCATAGAGAGGTTGCATAAGTCTACTTGGCATATTGTATTGTAATGGATGTTAATGGAACTTGAAGCACAGCCTGAGAAAAATGCTTCAGGGGTTTGTATGTACAGTACATCCAAGACCCAGTGCAGTTCTGCCAGAACTGATCTTATGTACTCGGACCATCTTGTCCTAGTGAGCAACCTGGCTTCCAAATTCTGCACCTGCTGCAGTTCCTGAACTGTCTTCAAAGGCAGCCCCAATGCATTGCAGTTGTCTAGCCCAGAGGTTACCAGAGTTTAGACCAGAGCTTTCCAAACTTTCCATGTTGGTGACCCACTTTATAGACGTGCATCATTTGCGACACAGTGATTCAGTTTTACTAGAAAACCGAAACTAACCCCTTTCCAGCCCCGGGAGGAGCGCGAGTAGTGTTTGTGTGACACCTACACACTGCTGCCGACAGACGTGTCGCGACACACAGTTTGGAAAACTCTGGTTTAGACAACAGCAGTTAGGTTGCCTCTATCTATGAGTCACTTGCTAAGAACTGGAAATAATTAAAAATACATGAATTGCTATTTTACAGAAACTTTAAACACTGAAAGTGTTGAACACACACTGCAGAGTTTATACTTAGGCTTATCTGTTGTTGTTTTTTACATTAAATTTAGGAATAGTGGAACTACTGTGAGTGATTTTTTTCCCTTTTTGGTCTTCCATTGAGCTATGTCAGAATACTATGGCTTTAGTTTGAGCCCTGGGTGGCTATATATGAACATTCATAATAAACTCATATTACTGATTAGTTGGTAACTAACTTTAACTATTTGCATATATCCACGTGGCATGTAGTTTGGTTTTACTGTATTACCAAGAGGTAGGGAGAATCTTGCAATTTCTCTTTTTTTTTTTGGATTTTTTTTATCAGGCAAAGAAGTATCATGTTCTTCAGGCACAATGTGGTGACATTCAATAATGGCTAACCAAATGGTTATATATGCATATGATAAGATACTGCTTGGTAAATGGCTGTCTACACTGCTCCCTTTTTTTAATCAGAAAGGTAGTGCAGTGAACAAAACTATATATTGGCTTTTCTGTCAAAGAGAACATGCTAGGTTTTCGTTTTGCTGCTGCTTCAGATAGAAGGACTGCTTTATTCAGCATTTTATAAAGAATGGAAATGAGGGTGGTTTCTTGAATTTACTTTGCATATATGTCTGCAGCATAAATAAATTTCCCCTTTGGGATCATTTCTCTAAGGGAAAAAGAAAATGAAACAAACATTTTGTCAAAATATATACATAAACAGCTGCAGGGCTCAATCTTGGTTTCCATAGTGATTGCCTAGCCATCTTCAGGCAAGTGTAACAAAATCTGAGTTCCTCCAAACCATGGAACTGCAGGGGCAGAGATTATTCTTGTCCCCTTTTCCCAGCCCCAGAGATGAGCAGATTTGCTTTGGCTCCACCCTTGCTGGATGTAAGTGGAGGGCCAAAATAAGGCACAACTCTGCCGTTCCTGCCTAACTCTAAATTGTGGAGGGGAAGATGGAGATAGGTTGTCTTTGTCTTTCTGCTTTTCAGGGGCAGGGGGTCCTTGGCAAGCCCCTCTCTGTCAGGAGCTCATCCTACTCTCGAGTAGGACCCTGGTAGAGACACATGCCTGACTGGCATGTTCTCTCCCTCCTGGTCGATCGTTCGGGAGCTTCAAAAGCTTTCTTCTGCCCGAACATCACAGCGACCGATGCCAACAGACACCGGCACACTTAGGGATCTGCAGAGTGTTCGCGGTTTGCGTAACAGACCTCAGCAACTCAGCATTTTGGCTAATCTACTTTATTTACATATAAACACACACGGAGCGCTGCAACATGGCTCCCTTTCTCTCTAGCATCAGACAGCAAAGAGAAAGAGCAAAGGACAATAGTCCCACTTCACGGAACACAGTAACACAAATATCCTGTCTCCGTCACTTCCCACTCTGTGGAATGAAAACACACCATCATGTGATAGACAACAATCCCATAACTGTAATCATGGGGCAGGAATTTTAACACACTCTATCCCCACACCAGCTCTGCATGCAGTGGCTTGGAAGGAAGAGGAGCACATACTTTTACTAGAGGTGTGCAGCACCTTTGCTAGGGCTGAATAGCAAGTGATTTGGGATGTCTTTACCCCTCACTATGGTGAAACGAAATGTCAGCCAAGTGCCCTAAGTTGGCCAAATGGTATTCTCTCTCTGTACTTTTCTGCAAACTGTATCTCTGGTTTCTTAATGTTTCTTTAGGTTCGTGGAATTCGAAATGCTGCCTGTGCAACACTGGAAATCAACGGGTGGTTATTCTTATTGTTGTTAGATCAGAACAGTGGATGGGTTGGAAGGGCGGGTTGGAAACTTCCTTGAACTTCTTCAAAAATGCTCTGCTGCTCTGCTTGAAAATAATTTGTCCACAACTTCTCCAGTACTCTGCAGACAGCCTTGCACGCAGCCATCATCACCTCGTAAGGCTTGCTGGAAGGCAGTCCCCTCCCCCCAAGCACAAGCAGACACTCAAAAGTCAAGGCATTCAATATGAAGCTTCTAGCATGTTAAATAATGTACAAGCAAAAATACCCACCATCGCCACCTCTTAAATTATTTTATGGTAAGAAGCAGCATAAGGCAAACCTTCATTCTCCCCTGAAAATATGAAAGTAATCACAGAATTGTAGAGTTGAAGGGACCTGAAGGGTCATCTAGTCCAACCGCCTGCAATGCAGGAATCTCAGCTAAACCATCCAGGACAGATAGCCATCCAACCTCTGTATAAAAACATCCAAGGAAGGAGAGTCCACAAGCTCCTGAGGAAGTCTGCTCTTGTGCCTTGCAAAACTCTTAATATTACCTGCTGAATTGAACCTCGGTTAAGCAAAATCTTAAAAGACACGAGTGGCGCTGTGGGTTAAACCACAGAGCCTAGGACTTGCCGATCAGAAGGTCGGATGTTCGAATCCCCGCAACAGGGTGATCTACCATTGCTCGGTCCCAGCTCCTGCCAACCTAGCAGTTCAAAAGCACGCCAAAATGCAAGTAGATAAATAGGTACCGCTCCAGCGGAAAGGTAAACGGCGTTTCCGTGCGCTGCTCTCGTTCGCCAGAAGCGGCTTAGTCATGCTGGCCACATGACCCGGAAGCTGTACACCGGCTCCCTCGGCCAGTAAAGCGAGATGAGCGCCGCAACCCCAGAGTCGGTCACGACTGGACCTAATGGTCAGGGGTCCCTTTACCTTTACCTTTAAGCAAAATCTTAAGCAAAAATGTTTATTGGAGCAAGATGTTCTTAGCAGCAGTGTTAGTAGAGGTTTGCAGGTTTTTAGATACAGTCATATTTCAGGTCACGAACGCTGTGGGTTGTGCGTTTTCAGGTTATGGACCGCACTGAACCCAGAAGTACTAGAATGGGTTACTTCCAGGTTTCGGTGCTCGCGCATGCGCAGAAACGCTAAATTGTGCTTTGTGCATGCACAGAAGTGCTGAATCGCATCATGCGCGTGCGCAGACGCGGCGCTGTGGGTTGCGAACGCTGCGAGTTGCAAATGTGCCTCCCGCACAGATCACGTTCGCAACCCGAGGTCCCACTGTATTTCTGTAGTCCTTCATATGGAAAAATTGTGCCTCCCCCGTCCTCAGTTTCTTTCTTTTCTGGGTGATACTAATCTTTTCTTTATATAAATGAAATGTTAGCTAATCATCACTTTTTCTGGTTGGCCTTATGTTGTGGTGTTTTTCTCCATTTCCAACCGTTCAAATGGTTGAATGCATTTCAGTATTTCATTTTGAGTTTAGCATTGAGCAATTTCATCCTGAAGGGGTAATTTTAACTTGTTAAGACTTGAAACTGAAAGGTAGGACTTAGGTTTGGCTTCCAACATCAGTGCAAAACCATCCTTTGTACCCTAATCATAGTGCTGGAAATAATCCTCCCGTATAGTAGCTTGTAGAAGTGAAGCATAACTTTTTAAAAAGAATAATGATAATTCATACAGAGAAATTTCAAGCAAACAGATTGGCAATTCTTAAATACTGTTGCTGGAAAAGAAAAGGAATATAATGAAGAAAAAGGAACATGCTTCAATAAGAAAGTATCAGCTGAAAAAGTTTGTGCTTAAAAATAAGTATAATGCTGGAAGACCTGTTGCCCTTGCAAGTCTGTTTGAAAGTTGTTACAGTATGCACTTGATCTAATAATGAATTTAATTATGCATACAAGAACTCCCTAGGTATCTTTTGAACTTCTTCACAGTTTATATGAATTTTAATTTAGCAGTCTATACTATCTATACATTCTATACTAAGGAAAACTGACAGAAATACTGTGAGAATCACATTTTTTTTATGCCAAAAGATTGTCTCTATTATACATTAGGTTTTGGAAATCTTTTCTACAACATGGGATAAACATTTTTGCGGGCAGAGGGTATGTGTGAAGCAAAGGGTTCTGGTTTTTGCAGATGTGATTCAAAATTAAACTAAATTGAAAAAAAATTAAACTAACTCTCAGTTGTATTTTCAGAGGGGTAACGTAGCTGTGTTAGCCTGTTGCAACATTTTGCACCAATTCATTGTGCAGCTTGTTTAAAAAAAATTAAGTGTCAGCAATTAACTTATTAGGGAGTTCTTCAGATAGTTGTATAGGTTTGTATTTAGCATAGCACTGCATTAGGGTTGCGTCTGCACAAGAATTTCTGCTTGCAAAGTGGGACTTCCCCCCTCTTCTTCCCCTATACACTCTCGGCATTATTTAGGGGTTCTCCCAACCCTCTGGAACAGATTTGAGGAGAGCGCACACAGGGGCAGGACTGGAGGGATGGAAGTCCTGTTGCACAAGCGGAAATCAGTTTGTGCTAGACAAGCTTCCCTCCATGAATTGCATACGCAACTTGGGATTTGTTGGGCCTGAGTTTTAAAGGGAATTACTGTTGAATTTTGATGTGTATTCAGCATATTCAGTTACAAGTGGAAGAGCAAATGCTCCTCTTCAGAACATAAATAATTACATTAAATTGATGCCAACTTCTTGGAATATTCTGAAGTGTCCCTTTCAAGAAGAGATCCTTCAACAAAGGAAGATTTTCTTTCTTTCTTTCTTTCTTTCTTTCTTTCTTTCTTTCTTTCTTTCCTGCCATCACTTGAATTCGTTCTTAAACCTTCCCACACTTGACGTCATCAAGACGCAATTATGATTGCTAAAAGCATTTCTTGGTCAGTAAGTGTTGCAGTAATTGTAATGTTAGTGCAGAATAGAGTACAGATATAATGATTCCTTCAGCAATTCTTAGATGCTCCTTAGGAAAATTAGGATACAAACACACATTCTTTTGCTTGAATATAAATAATAATTTAACCGGATTTCCCCTCCCCCCTGAAAAGTCTAATAGAATGTGTGTGTACTGATGTTCTTCATGCTTTATAAAACCTGGAGCAAGTAGAACCTGGACCACTATGGTGCAGTGCCTCAGTTCCAGATTCCAGCCAGCCATGCCCTTTTCTGGGATATTCCATACCATCCCCCTGTCCCCTGCAACAGACATTTGATATTCTGTGGCTACTGAGCATGCTCAGTCCTCATTGGCTTGGTTTCAGGTCCTCTCCCTTCCTTAGTATTCCCTGCCCACCACATTTTTTACCTACAGACATTGGGGATTTGCCCAAGCCTGCTGATAACTTCCCATTTTGGTTACATAAGGTTACGCACTCATGGAGTGATTTCCCTGTTGGTATACAGCAGGTTTCTAAAAGTGGCACTCTACAGACCACTTGGAAAAGTGAGCATAATCAACCACCTGCTAATCACCTGGCACTAGATAATTGAAACTTCAACTCATAGCAGCAAAGGAAATCTTTTTTCTTTCTTTCCTGCCATGACTTGAATTCTTTCTTGAACTTTCCCACACTTGACATCATAGGACATCAAACATGGAAAAGTGTCCTTGGTTCACTCAAAACATCCTGGCTGGCCTAATGAAGCTTGTAAGCCGCAGGCTACCCATCACTGATTAATATGATATTATATCAGCAGATATAATGGTGCTCTTTTTGGCTCTCCCTGCACATTTTCTCTTTTTGAGCAAGCTCTTTCCCCCGACTTAAGGACAAATTAGTAGTGCATTTAGCCAATATGACCCTAGATATTGTATTACTTCACCTTATTTAGTCTTGTTTTTTACCTGCAAGTCCAACCTGGTTACTTCATTCTAGTAAGGCAGCTATGTGTTCTTTCTTGCAGGCCAGCCCTCCAGACATCTACATCGAAAGGTTTAACATAGCACTTGGACAGTATATGGGAGCATTACAGAGCATTGTGCCTCTTTTCATATATATGGTAAGTTTTTAGAATACTTTTTCAAATTGTGCATAGTCTGGAAGGAAGGAACTGATTAGGTGCGAGGTATAGCAGTGGTCAGCAATTAGATTCTCCTGAAGACTTACATTGGGAGTTAAGTGGGATGATCTCCTGCTAGAAGCACAGATTTCCTCTCTCTGCTCATAGAATAGAATCATAGGATTGTAGAGTTGGAAGGGACCACGAGGATCATCTAGTTCAACCCTCTGCAATGCAGGAATCTTTCACTCAAAGTGGGGCTCAAACCCACAAACCTGTGATTCAGAGTCTCATGCTCTACCAACTGAGCTATCCCTCATGGGCTCACTTGGACTTATTCCACTAGTTTAATTAAAGCCCAGGCCATAACAGAACCTGCCTAGTGTGCTGAGGTACTTCTGTGCTGCACTCTTTTATCCCCCAGCAGCACCTTCTGAAATTAACCTCTCAGTTAGGAACAGAACCATCATAACACGGTGCATTCTGTTCTCAACCCAAACATCCTGTCCAGAAGCATGCCATGGCTGGTGGTATTGAAACCCAGCAGCATTGGTCAATCTGCAATGCAACCATGAGGTTTGGCTCATACAAGCTGTCTGTACTTGTTTTTTACCCGTTTTCCCCTTGGCTGCTTGGGAGGCGTTATAAGGGACTGCAGAAAGGTGCAGCAAAGAGGGCATGCTTGCATAACTCAGGTTACAGTTAACTTAATCTCATCTAAGAGTGCCTGGAGTTGCATGGCAACCACTCGGGTTGAGTATGGTTGTACTGCATCAAGCATTGCTCATGAGTGTTCTAAAATTGGTATAAGCACTCATTTGGAAGAATCAGTTTTGCCATTAGCTTGTTGTGTTAAGCTTAAGAGTGCATGTACATTTATTTTCTTGCAGATGGGTTACCAGGCTTTCATATTTATAGACATTTTGTATCTTGCATAATCTTTCCTGGATCAGTAAGGTTTGCTTCTTGGTTGTTGTTTTTTTTAACATATTCAGACTATTTAATTCAAAACATGCACTTACATTGCATATGTTAATGTGATTTATATGAGGAAGGGGTATTAGATGGGTTCTGCTCTAAAATGTCTTGCAGCTAAAACACTGCAAACCGATTTGAGAAATTTGATAACTGTGCATGTCAAGAGAGTTCTGATCTACTTTGCTGGTCCCATGCCAAGAAGCAGAAGTTGTAATGCTTATTATTGCAAGAGCACTTCATTCATTTATTGAATTTTGGCTCTAGCTGTGTTTTTAATGTACCAAAATAAGCTTGTAATTAAAAACAACCCTCTGTCAACACACCATCTCAAAAATAGGATTTGTTTATGCACAGTTATGATTTGGGTTTTGTCAAAACTCTCTTACCCACGTAGAGCCAACTGTTACTAGATCTCAGATTTTAAAAAGAAGTGTATCGGCAGGTCACAGATAAGATTTACAAATATGTGCCATAATTTTATTGCTTAGTATTTGTTTGATTTAAATGACTGTACTACAGAGACTATTTATAACGCTTTGACTTAAGCTCATGTTATCTGTAGTCCTAAAAGAACACTGGAACAATGCAAACTTGTGTTTCATTAACAGCCTTTAAAGATACGTAACTTAAAATCTTTTCAGGTGCTTTTTATGTTTCTCTCCAGAAATCTCGGCTGACAAACCAAGCTAAGCTGTTAGAAAACTCTTGGTCCGTGGAGGCCATTTGTAACTCCCATGACTGGATCTAGGCGCATCTCCAAACTGTCACCAGAAAACTGATTAGCTGGTATCCATGGTACCATTGCTTTTAGAGAGCATCCCATTAGCTATCCTTCATAGTATTGAATAATGATACACACATTAGGAGGGTTATATTATTTGCCATGGCAACAACTAAAATGGATGTTGTAAAGATTATTGTGTTGTCCTTTAAAACTACCTGAGCTGGTCATTATGTAGCCTTTCTTTTGTGTTGTAATATTTCTTGATTTGATTTTTTAAAATGACTTTTGACTAAATGATAAAAATTCTGAACGGTACTGAAGGGCTTTAGTGTTATCAGAATATGTGCTAGTAGTTCACAATTGACCTTTTGTGAGGAACGTTTTGAAGTTGTTTTGAAGCATGTGTCTCTCAAGAGAAAATGAAGTGCTTGGAGGTGTCCTGTATTGGCTGAAATCTCTGGCTGGCATGTTCAGGTCTGTAGTGATTCTAAATGGAGTATGAAGTGGGCAGTGTGTTAACTGTTGCTTTAGTCAGATTTAATGTCTTGGTTCTTGTTTTGCTCTGTCTCTGAATCAACTGTGTGTTTCTGCTGAATCCAATAGACTTCACTCACTTAGATTCATATAATAATTTCTGTATTCTCATCTCCCAATGGCACTCAAGCCTGAGGATCATTGGATCTGGACTATTTTCACACCCTAATACCACATCCTGTAGAATTCTATCAAATATATTTCATCTGTACACTTGGAATGAATTTCAGGAACCGAAATGCTTTTTCTGTGCAGCCTGAGCAGGAGCAGTCACCATTAAGAAAAAGAGGTCGGAATAGGCCAATATATATGTGGACTGTCCCTGGATCAAGTGATGTTTCTTCTTTAAGTCCTCAGAGTTTTTAACCCAGCTCAAGGTTGTCATCTGAACTAGCCAGATGTTTAACAGGCAGTCCATCATTTGAAAAATAAGACTTTCGAGCTGATTTGCCCCAAAATGACAAGTAGACATTCCATTTTGGTAAATGTAACCTTGGCTTAAGGAGCCATTTGGATGGAGGATTCAAAACATGATGTGTTTTTCTCTTTGCTCTATGTTAAAAAATCATCATCACCTTAGAAGCCCCAGCACATTTTGTCTCCTGACATCTGCTAGGTTGAATTTGATAGTGGTAGAATATAGTGTGGCATAATGGTTAATGTTGGGCTATGACCTGGGAGACCAGGATTTGAATTCCCACTCAGCCATGAAGCACACTGGGTGACCTTAGACCAGGCACTGTCTCTCAGTCTTGCCTCAGGGTTGTTGTGAGGATCAAATGAGGAGGAGAGCTATGTGAACCACCTTGAGCTCATTGGGGGAGAAGGTGGTATATAAATGCAATTAAATAAATAAGTAATAGTGGGGACAGCTGGGCAGATCTGGTGTTTGACAGGTATCATTAATATTCATTTTATATGCTTGCTATATGGAGGACCATAATGGCAACTGATGTGTGATGCTGAAGAACAGCAGTGATACAAGCAGGAAACGGCTCCTGTAGAAATATGTGATGCCTGCAGTACTGATAAGCAAGATAGCTCTACTGTGGTTTTACATTGAACTGTTTTATCACTCTGTGAACACTTTCTATGTACCGTAATGGGGTAGCAAAAGTTGTTAGAATCACTTTCAAAGAAAGCTATGTTTACTTTATATCAGGTATGAGCAACATGCAGCCATCATTTTCATTTTAAGCACCCCTTGGCCTAATTTCATGCATGTGGCAAACAAGGGAAAAGGGAGTGGCAGAGAGAGAAAGAGAAAAGAATTCCTAAATCTTGGGGTGATCTAGTGGTTTTTAACTTCTGTAGTGTTGATTTCCTCTCTCCCCTTGAAATGGGTATCATGCAGGAAAGCTGCCTATAAATACCTTGTAATAACAACAATGGATAATAATAGAAGTTGGGCCACTTGTGTCTCTAGTACAGCCCATGTCTGCTACCACCATGTGGTCACCAATAGTTTATCCCTGAATAAATGCAGTGCTCAAAAGCAACAACAACAAAGGTTCTAAGGAGTGATGATGAATGATGCTTTTCTGAAGATTTTCACAGGCCTTTTTTTGTGTTGCTGTAAATCCAAAACAGTTAACATGGTTTCTTCTGTTTTGTTTTTCAGAATAAGTTTTACATAGAAACCAAGCTTAATCGAGACTTAAAAAATGACCTTATAAAACTGTTTACGGAACATGTTGCAGAAAAGCACATTTACAGCCTAATGCGTAAGTAAAGTTCTTGGGCTTACGTTTTCTAAAATATTAAGTTAATATTCTTTTGTACTGTGGAGTTACAAAATGCTGAAGTTTCAGTATTAATGGGGAAATTGAACAGGTAAAAAGTCTAAGACCAAATATTATATCAAGGAACCTTTAATAGCTTATTTCAAAATAGGCTTTGAAGACCAGATGATGGATGTCATTTATTCCTGGCCTGTATTAGAAAATGCAGTATGATTGATTATTTCAATAAATACAGCTATCTGCTGAAGAGGTTTGAAGCAGATGTCTTTGACAATATTAAGTTGTACTAAAATACAGTCATAATGCATCACTGGGAAAAACTGGCTCCATCCACAGATTTTCTGGCTTTTTGTGGTTTTATTGTGAACAAGCAGCATGCCAAGTCACTTCCACTGCACTCCATCCCTGATATGAGCAGGATATACTAACCAGAAAGCCTAGACTTCCTGTTCCATCTGAACAGGGGGTTGTGATTTGTTTCTCCCTAGCAAGCCTTGATCTTTAGCTAACCTTAAACCATGGGAGGTGAAGATTATTCATCAAGTTAGTTAAGGAGAAACAAGCCACGATCCACAGTTTAGATCTGGGCTTCCGAGTTTGCTTTTCCTGCTCATGCCTGGAAAGGAGTTCAGTGGGAACATTGGGAAGCATACAGTAGCATGCTGGTCATTCACAAAAAACCATTGTAAGCCAGGAAGTCTGCAGCCACACTGTTGATTTGTTCTTACTACAACATCCAGCTTTTTGTTACTTTTTTACAAATCTTTTGCTATAAATGGAAACAGTCCTCTTCAGATGTCAATGTTGACATTGGCAAAACAGCAACTATCTCTGGATTCGAACCAACCCAGTAAGAAAATAAGAACACTTCAGTGATTACTTTGGCCTCCATTGAAATCGTTCATGGAAATTCTGTTCTTCAGACATTTTCATAAACTGTCACCAGGTTTCTGCATATAATGAGCTACATATTTCATTTTTTTGTATGTGTGGAAGCATGAAACATGCAATTTTCCATGCCTGTCTTCAGGAGAGCTGCGCCACCTGCTTTTTGTGAACCTATACAGTCAAACCGCAGTTCCCAAGCGGCTCTGTTTTGGAATATTTCGGCTCCCAAATGCCAAAATCCCAGAAGTAAATGCTCCAGTTTTTGAACGTTTTTTGGAAGCCGAACGTCTGACCCGGCTTCCGCTTAAGTGCAGGAAGCTCTTGCAACCAGTTGGAAGCTTTGCCTTGGTTGCTGAATGTTTCGGTAGCAGAACGGTCTTCCTTAATGGATTACATTCAACAACCGAGGTTTGACTGTATCGGCTTTGATTAAGGTAAACTTGTTACTGTCAGTGTATCAGCCCAACTGAGGTGTAGGTAAGAATTATTAGATACACCCTAAAGTCCCATAAGTATTGCATCTAAATGCTTTCTGCTAGTAGTTTAATAGTACTTATTTAAAATTCCCTTATATCAAATCAAGGTAAACAACTGATCATAGTCAATAAAAGGAAATGTCTGTTCTTCACTTCTTACATCCCAGTCCACAGCTAATGAACACTCAGCAATGCCATTTTGTAGTATTCTACATTTTTGCTGTTTAGTGCTTCAGCGTCAGTTCCATTTACAGTAGTACGTCGGGTTAAGAACTTAATTCGTTCTGGAGGTCTGTTCTTAACCTAAAATTGTTCTCAACCTGAGGCACCACTTTAGCTAATGCTGCTGCTGCGCCGCCACCGCGCAATTTCTGTTCTCATCCTGAAGCAAAGTTCTTAACCCGAGGTACTATTTCTGGGTTAGCGGAGTCTGCAACCTGAAGTGTCTGTAACCCGAGGTACCACTGTACTTGCAACTGTTAATTTTTCTAAATCATTAACGTTATAATTTTAGTGAGACTGACTCATGTGTCTGACATATGAATGAACTGGCAGCAGTTTTTTATTTAGGTGTAAAGGTCAAGGCATTTAGATGTAAAGGCATTGTTAAAAGTCAAGAAGTAATTTCCTGCGCTGCTATTGGGTGTAATCAATAGACATTAAAAGGCTGAGTCACCTCAGTAACTACAAGGGATTTCTTGGAACCATCAAAAGGTTGACGTGCTAGGTTTTCTAGTATGGAGAAAAGACAACCAAAACACGATAGCAGTCTATAAATGTATGTCTGGTGTGGAGAAAGTGCATGGGCCTGAAGGAGCGTCTCCACCCCCATCATTCTGCCCGGACACTGAGATCCAGTGCCGAGGGCTTTCTGGCGGTTCTCTTGCTGCGAGAAGCCAAGTTACAGGGAACCAGGCAGAGGGCCTTCTCGGTAGTGGCACCCGCCCTGTGGAACGCCCTCCCAGCAGATGTCAAAGAGAAAAACAACTACCAGACTTTTAGAAGACATCTGAAGGCAGCCCTGTTTAGGGAAGCTTTTAATGTTTAACAGACTATTGTATTTTAATATTTTGTTGGAAGCTGCCCAGAGTGGCTAAGAGGCTTAAAATGTTTTCTTATCTTGGGAAGTTTTAACAGGCTTTAAAGTTCTTACTGTGTCATGTGGGGGTATCAATAGATATTGGAAGGATCCAGTATTTTCATACTGTTGTTAAGAAAGATGGTAAAGGCAGTTGTCTCTATATTCAGAAAAGGTTGTTGGAAAATGTTAGAATATTCCTCATTTCTGAATTGATAATATTCTGAATTGATAATATTCTGAACTGATAATATTAGAATATTCCTCATTTGCAATTGATAATATGGTTCATTCAGTTTTGTCTTCTGAAAAGGTTATTTGGATGCCACCATTACCTGCTTAATTGGCATACAATTAATGTTTAAGTGAGTTTCTTTTATCATTTCAGCTTTACTCCTAGAAGCTCAGACCACGCCTTTTTGGATAGACCCTTCCACTATGGCAAACATTGTCAAAGGATTGTATATGCTTAGGCCAGGTAAATTACTATTGTTATTTTTATTATTATTTTAAATACTCTTTATTGATTTTGCACATTGTTTAGAAAACAATAAAACAATGGGGGAGAAATGGTGATCACATTTTGATGGATAGTAGATATAAAGAATATTGATACGTAGTGTATCTTATGCTTCACAGAAGAAATACAAACATAGGAAATGAGCTAAATCATTTTTCTTTTGAATAGTCTATAATTTACAGGCCTGATGTCCCTGGAAAATCAAGCAGCAAGTTCCTTTGTCTCCATGGTGCTGATAATGCCATGGTTGAAGGTTTGGTCCCTGGATGGGATAGCTGCATTTTTCTGCATAGCAGGGGGTTGGACTAGATGATCCTCAGGGTCCCTTCCAACAGTTCCATGATTTTGTGACTTCTGCCCTGTTGACATGGCCTGGCTTATGTATGCATGGCAAAAAATGAAAGGGCTTGGCTTTGAAGCCTTCAAGAGCGGTATATTTTAGGCAAGTCTCAATAACCAGATCAACAAGAAGGCGTATCTCTCTCTCTCTCTCTCTCTCTCTCTCTCTCTCTCTGTGTGTGTGTGTGTGTGTGTGTGTTATAGTCCTTTCTTATAATCTATTTTGGCCAGATTGTGGACTTGGAGGTGAAGTCCTAGATCAGAGCCATTAATGTCAAGGTGTGTAGTTAAACTGTGTGGCACATGGGAAATTGGATGCATTTGTGGTACGTTTGTGGTTATGATTGCTGTCGAAACACTGGGAACACCTACTCCACCAGGCTGCTCCCTGACAGATATCTTTCTCTTCTACAGCTAAGCAATCTGATGCCTTGTACATGCATTTAGCATGCAGCAAGATAATATTTAATCCTTTCATAGAATCATAGAGTTGTAGACTTGGAAGGGACCCTGAGGATCATTTTGTCCAGCCCACTGCAGTGCAAGGAAATACAGCTGCCTCATACTGGGATTGAACCTGCAATCTTGCCATTATCAGCACCATGCTCTAACCAACTGAGCTATCCTTTCTATGTCGTGTGAAAGCTCAGTGCTAGGATGTTACAGGCCTGCCATATGAATTAATGTGTGTGCGTGCGAGTGATTTTGTTTCATTCACTATTACTTTCCATTTCTACACAGAATGGGTTCAGATGGCACCAGCTTTATTTTCTAAATTTATTCCAAACATCCTCCCTCCTGCTGTAGAATCTGAGCTTGAGGAATATGCTGCTCAAGACCAGAAACTCCAACAAGAACTTATTCAGGAAGGATTTTCCAGGTAATAACCCTGGCATTTAAAAATTAGTACCCAGTTTTTTTCAGCAAGTGTCTCAAATTGATGTTGTTGGGGTTTGGGAGTGGGGTCAGTCATGGCTATGACTATGAGCTGAAATAAAAGTGCAGCCACAGTCAGAATAATTGCTGCCAGCAGTCCTTGTACTTGCCCAGAAAAGTCAGAACAGCTTGTGTGTAAAGCAAACATTTTATGAACTGCCCTGAGAGTAGAGTTTAAAGTGCAGTAATAACAACTGATTCCCTACCCCTGTACTGTCTGTTTGTTGTAAATGTTTTGCGGAAGGAGCACGTGTTTCTTTGTACTCTTCCTTGGTGTTTCCATTGACCATGGAGAATGTGTTCACTGAGGAGCTATCAGGGATAGGGACAGTTTTCAAGGACTGCGAACAGGACAAAACAAAGACATTGCCTTTTGAACAACTGCTACAAAAGCACCCAAAGCTGTCTGCTTAAAGCCACATGATAGCCTTGATAAACCAGCTACCAGAGTTTTGAATGTTGTGATGGCGGAGTGGATGGGAATTCTTACTGTTCTGCTTTGTTTGTTGTTATATGTCCTTCTTATGTATATGTGTGCACACTTTCAGCTTTTGCCAGGAAAAGCAGGAGTTCTCTCAACACTCTCCTTAAAAGGTTGTACAGTGGTACCTCTGGTTACGTACTTAATTCGTTCCGGAGGTCCGTTCTTAACCTGAAACTGTTCTTAACCTGAAGCACCACTTTAGTTAATGGTGCTTCCTGCTTCTGCCGCGCCGCCGCCGAGCGAGTTCTGTTCCCATCCTGAAGCAAAGTTCTTAACCCGAGGTATTATTTCTGGGTTAGCGGAGTCTGTAACCTGAAGCGTATGTAACCCGAGGTACCACTGTACTTGAATCCATGCAGAATGGCTGTAGGTTTCTTGTGCAGTTACACCTAATCACTTTAGCCTGGAAATCTGATCAAGTGCTTGTTTTATTTTCATTTTGAATTTTAAACTGCTGTTCCCCAGTGACTCTGGGTAAATTTAGCCTTGGGACTGATATTTAGCACTAGCAATGTTCCAGGAGAATAAGTTATCTGTAGTGCTAGAGGTCACTTACAATACAAAATAGCTTAGCTATGAGTCATACATACGTTGGAGGAATGTTAACTCTTCTATTTTGTTCACTAAATGGAACAATGTTGGCTTGGAAGCATTTCTTTCAGTAGCTTATCAGTGTGGTTTCCAAGATGCTCAGTTCAAACCCCTTTGGAGAAATAGTAAATTTGAGAAATTTCATCAAAACACTAACTAGTCTGATGGCTGAGGCACAAATGCCAAATGAAACTCCCCATGTTAGTAATTGTTGCCCTTTCCCAGTTTCTAAATAAGCTGCTTAAATAAAGCTGCTTTCCTGTGACTAATGGCAGGGTTGCTCCTTGTGTCTCAGATCTTTTAGGTAAAATTAGATGGCTCATTAAATAAATGTATGTTTGCTAACATGCTTGGTTATTATAATTATTTTTTTAAGATAGCCCATTCTGGGCTGTTAGCAGCATGGATGGGAAAGGGTTATGGCATCCTAATGAAAACAGCCCCTCATTGAAGTTGCTGTTCACCTCCAAAAGGAAGTTGTCATAGGTGTCAATCTCATGTTATGTTTTTGGGTAGGATAGCTACTTCTGCATGGTTGGATCCGTCCCTGTAACATTTAGAAAGGTGGCCATTGTGTTGGATAGGTAGATTATGTGTCTGCTTCACATGCCAGTGTTACTAACCACAGAGCGGTATGCTGCCAGCATGGGAAGTAAGCACATCATTTGCTTATCCTCTGCAGCTGCTCATTTCAAATAACTGCTGGTGTTGAATAAGACCATACAGAAATAAAACCCTGACACACGGGTAATTCAAAACTTGGCCCTAAATATTAGGGATAATACTTGTCGGGCAGAATAAATTGATTCTGGTACATTCTGTTCCTTCTGTTATTGTTGCTCTTCTGGCATACATAAATATTATATTTTATTTGTATTGTTTTTGAACTCTATGTTGATGTCATGCTTCATGCTGACTTTCTATAATTCCTTCCATTGCTACCTTTTTTTTTTTTTAGAGGTGACCAGTCACGTAAAAGAGCTGGAGAAGAATTAACCTACAGTAAGTAATTTAGATTACCATTATAAATTATTTGATTAACAACAGACGCTTCGTTTGAGACAGTGAAGCAAACAACTCCTTCTCACCAACAGTTGCAAAGTTAAGTTCCTGTGTATGGCAACTTGCAACACGGGTCAAAGAGAAGGTGCCAGGGTGCAGAAGGTTTGGAATGTAACCTTGAGGAGTAAGAAAAACTGGCTCTCTGTAGTTCCACTTCCCTCTACATCAGGCATAGGCAAACTCGGCCCTCCAGATGTTTTGGGACTACAACTCCCATCATCCCTAGCTAACAGGACCAGTGGTCAGGGATGATGGGAATTGTAGTCTCAAAAACATCTGGAGGGCCGAGTTTGCCTATGCCTGCTCTACATCTCTAAAATATTGGTAATAATAAAGTTTGTACAGATGAGCAAAAAAAGATTCAAGAAGTTGTAAATATAGTATTGGATCACTGAAGTGTGTGTGTGTGTGTGTGTGTGTGTGTGTGTGTAGGTTAACTTTACCTTCAGCATGATATTGAATGGATACTACTTGAATTGGCAGGATCAGAAATACCCAGGCCTTATCTTGCAGGTCCGTTCTGCAGAACAGTGTCGTTCTGCAGTCCTTGGTGCTCCAAACTGATGAAACTACTGTATCGTGTTGTATAATATGGTGGTGTTTAGGGCTTTATGGCTTAACAGCCATCTATGTACTTTTCCGGCATATGGAAAGATGTCCTTTAAGTTTCTTAGGGTATTTGTACGCATAGAAGAATGGGTGGGATGCTTGTCTTTTGAGATAATGGATCAGGTGGGAGGGCACCAGCAAAGATGCTACCTTGAATCATTTTTCTCTTTAAACTTGTTTTTTTATTTTTACTGTTTTAGATGGTTCCGCTTCGTGTGCAAGCTCAAGAGGATGCAGATAGTGACTGCAACAAGTATTTTATTCTCAATAGGAGCGGACACTGGAGTGACATTGGAAGGGAGGGTATCCAGAAGCCCCGTTGGGCTCTACTGATACTCAGGTTCTTTGATGCAAGCTATACCTACAAGAGGAGTTTGGACATATTTCTTGCCATGTAATAAAATATCTGTTTGCTGCTATTTGGGGGCTAACTTGGAACAATGTGACCAGTCTTGACAAGTTCTTCTTGAGCAATCCTGTGAGGAGCAGACCTTCTTGTTTCTGTTTTAAAAAGACCAGTGCATACTAAAACATGGTAGCCAAAAAAAAAAAAAAAGCAGCTTCCTCTGAAAGAAACTTTGCACTTTCTAAATGTGTGGACATTGCTGAGCTTGTGCCCATTAGGTTTTGTCTGAAATGTTTTGCTTAGAAAGAATAAAAATCGATCACTTGGGAGTATTTCTTTTGTTCCACAAAAAGTTTGCATCCTAGAGTCAGTCTTACGTTATTGGCTCTTGACATTCCAGATCTATATAGTTCACCTATTCAGCCCCCTTCCCCCTATCCCCCCCCTTTGATATCCATTAATAGGTCCTTCTGTGCCCTCCGTCTCCTTGCTTTCAGCTTGGGTGCTTTGCAGCTTTGTCTCTCTTAAGCTGTGATTTGATTAAACATGCTGCAAATTTGCAAGATTTTCTTGCAACCTATCACTTAGGAAAACAAGAGTGAACGAAAATTGTAATTATGTTCTCTGTTTCCTTCCACATGAGAAGTATTAATTCAAGTCTCAGCATTTATTGTATTTTGTTGTTGGCTTCAGTAATGATTGCAAAAGCTTAAACCCCAGATAGAAAGCGGTTCCCACATGTGATTTCAATTCAGAGTTGAAACGCTGGTGCATACAGATAGAAGGATTTGACAAGACATTGTGGGTCAGGTTATTGGCTCACATCTACCGTGTTGGACTGTGACAGTACAGATAGATTTTTCTTTATGGTTTTAAGTAATCTGTTTGTTTGATTACCTTGTTATTGGACTGCTATAATAGATTTAAAGAACGTAGCTGAAACTTTGCTTGTAGCTTACCTCTGGGTAGCAAGGTAAGGTAAAGGTAAAGGTACCCCTGCCCGTACGGGCCAGTCTTGCCAGACTCTAGGGTTGTGCGCTCATCTCACTCTATAGGCCGCGGGGATTCGAACCGCCGACCATGCGATCGGCAAGTCCTAGGCGCTGAGGTTTTACCCACAGCGCCACCCGCGTCCCAATAGGGTAGCAAGGTACTCTAGGTCAAGTTTACACACCCATGAAAAGCTTGTACCCTTTTCAGAAGGTAAGTGAATTGTGTACTTGATTTGCACGTAAAGGATTTTTTTCCTCTTGTTAAAGCTTGAACGTCCTGCAATAGATTGCACTGCATTGTGGGTATGAATATATATGCAGCAATCTGTACCTCATATGGGATGAATTTGGATCCCTGTATTCTACTTCTGGTCCCAGATCAGAGGCAAGTCACAAGGTGCTGTCCTGCCCACCCCGTGTTCTCTATGAAGAAGCACCATGCATGCATAGAGAACTAAGGGATCCCCTGTGTCTTATGTGTGGTAACCAGCTAGGTCATACTCAGAGTAGATCTATAGAGCAGACTTGTTAGTCATGACTAAAGTCCATTGATTTCATCAGGTCCCTTCTGGGTAGGATTTAGTTGGATATCACACAATGAGGAGGTTTTTTAATAGAAAGAGTAGGTCGTTCTCTGCAATAAAAGGTAAGTGCAGATATCGATTGCCACTGAGACAGCAAAGCCAAACTGGATGCAGTTGTTCTGAGAAGTTAGTGCTCAGGGGAAGTTCATTGTGAATGAACCTTTAATATAAGTGTTGTGCCCGTGGAAGGCCATGGAGTGAAAGCATTTTGCATTTCCAGAAGTAATAAATGGCAGCTCTCTTTATTAGTAAAAAAATAATCTTATTACATGCCTTCCCCACTTTTGTGCACTGGTCACACTGGGCTTATCTGGTGCACAGAGTGTCCTGCACAGTTTTGAAATCTCATTGGGTAGGACTCTTGAGAGATATGCTTGTCCATTATAGTGTGAGAGCATTATCTTAAATAGCAAAATGGTACTTGGAAAAAGTGTTGGTTTGTTTTAAAAAGAACAAAACCCTTGCAATATCAACAAATCTTTTAGACCTGATGGGAAAACTGGGCTCTTAGTTAATGGTCAAAAATTATGCATCACTTCAAAGAAACCATGACAGTAGATATGGCAAGAAAATTCCTTTCTACTTTTACATAGGCTGTCCTCCGTTCTTTTGATATTCAAATGAAAGACACTAGGAAATTACAGATTGTTAATTTTTGAAATGTTTTAAAAATTAATCCCTTGCATGTTCTTGGTTTGTTCAGTATTTTTCTTCGAAACAATTAATTAGATGAAAAGTACTAAGTGAGAGGCAGGTATAATTTTGTTAGAGCAGATTCTGCTGTGGAATGTTTTCCATTAGAAACAATGGACTACCTAGGACCTTTACCAGTGTAACATTTTTTGTGGTTTCATCTCCAGCAAATTGATACCATGAGCAGTATATTGTGACATCCCACTCAGTGTCCATAAGTTTGCACGCTGAGCTCCCAGTCATTGAATGTGATGAGCAAGTACATAGTCATGCCACTAGAATTACATTAGCCCAGTTGGCATCTGTTCCAGGTTGGCACCCCACCCACCAGACCTCAGTTGCCCTCAAGGACAGAGTTCACATAAGGCCTGGTGTTGAAAAGTTCGGGGGGGGGGTATCTTTTGTAGGGAGGTCATATATATCCAATACTGTATTTAATGCAGAATGTATCTGTACAAATGCCACTCACACCAGTTGACTGAGTATATCTTTGGATATGGAAAATGGGAGTGTGCAGAATGTATGCACAACTTAGTAGTTTTAGTAACCAAACAAAAACAGATTGAAGAAAATAAAATCAGCATCCCTGATATAAAAGCTACTTGCTTCCACAGTTATGAAAATAATTTTTATGATTTATTTATTTTTAAGGATGGGTACTTTGCTACATCCAGGTGATTCCTATTGTTGCAGCATTCTCCTCAGAATCCTCCCATTCAGGCTTTAGTTGTGTGGCAGAAGATGGCAGAGCTACAACTGCTAGAGCAGGAGTGAGGATCATCACCTGTAGTCTGAACAGCATCTGGAGGGTTATAGGTTCCTCATCCCTGCTCTGGTTAGTGAATGAGGACTGGAGCCAAGCATATGGGACACCATGCCTACAGTCATTCCATGGCACTGGGTCTTCTCTAAAAGATGGAAACCTAAGAGTTGTATCCATTGAAGTCATCTCATTAATGCAAGGTTTTCCACAGTGGGACTTCCTTCCTTTCCCTTCTCCCCTCCAAATCTGTTCTGGCTTTCCCCTCCAACCCTCCAGAAGAGATTTGAGGGGCACCAAGGAGAGAGACAGGAAGTTTCATTGCACAGGTGGAAGTCCTTGTGCTCATGGGGCAACTTAGTTGGGTGCAACCCATATTGTTCTGCCCTCCCCAGTTAATGTCGCCACTGCACTACAGATCACCCTGGTAAAGCACTACATCGCTTAGTATAACCCATCATATACTTCCTACCAATGGTCCTCTGCCGTTTGGTCCACTTTATCTTCATTTAGAGTGGTCAGAGGTAAAGTAATCTGAGGGATAGCCATCTGAAGCACGTGAAATATTTGGTACCACTGAAAGGGTGGGAGGTTGACGATCATGCCTGGGATTTGTGGTTCTTGTTTAACCAGAAAGGCCATGTAGTTAATCTTCCACCTTTCTGCCATTTTGCTTTGACCAATGAGATATACCCCTACAATAAGGAAACATAAGCAGAAAGTATTCATGGTGACTTATACCATTGCCATGGAATTCCCTTCATTTGGAGTGTTGGTACTGTTTGAGACTGAATATATTCCGCATAGTCTATGTTACTACGGATTAGAATGGGATTCTCATTTGATATTTTGTTGTTGGCAGAACTAGAGCTACCAGAATCAAGCGGATGAGAATGTTAATATAAAACACCCTTTTGATTTCCAAGAGTGCAGGTTTATTATGTATGTTGGGCTGCTTTTTTTTTTTTTTAACTCGTATCTAATTTGTGATTTGTAAATAACCTGTAGAATGCAACTTTTGTTTCAGGTTATATAATTTTATTTGTGTCATTGAATGTTGAGTCTTAGGACATTACCTTTTTGAAACCAGTCCTTCTTTAAAAGTTAGGACAAAGCCTTCCTCTAATGTCAATATTCTACACATTCTTGGGGAAAAAATGTTTTAGCCCTATGTAGCATCTTGCCTGACTAGGATACTGAAAACTTTTTGTAAAAATAAAAAAAATGTTGTGTTATGTTGTAAATTAGTATTAAGATTTCTGTATGTTTTGGCATCTAATGCTGAAATCATTTGTTTCCTTATCTTCAAAGGGTTTTATCTTTGTGAGCTGAGCATGAAAGAACACAACAAAACATATGAAACAATGGTTACTCTGTAGACATTTTTCTTGGTCAGTCAGTGTGTCAGGTCTCTAAAGCCATGACTTAACCAAAGCAGCATGGTCTTAGCTATGGTGCTTCTGTGAATCAGACAACTTGCCACACGTGTGTGTGTGTGTGTGTGTTTTGTTTCCCCCCTCAAATGAGACCTAAATAGCAAAATTTTATGCATCAGGTGTCATCTTATATATCAGAATTGTTTCTTGGGAAATTTGCTCTATTAAAATATTTTTAGACAAACATTTTGGTTTTGAAGTTTCCATTTTTAACTTGCATTCACTTATCCATACTGGTTTGCCTGGCTGAGAGAAACTTTGATGGCCAGTAATAGTGCTGGCATTACACAGTGAGTGCAGAAGTGTCCCAAGGAAAACTGCCTGCCTTTTGAAGGATGCTTCTGCAGTAATCAGCCAGAGAAGTAATGACATTATTTTCTCTGAGAATTCCATCTCGGATCTATTGTGCAAAGGTTCCTAATATTATACTGTTGAATATATTACTGTGCAGAGTGCACATAGGAGTTGCAGGCTGTTCAAACTCTTCACACGCCATTCACTGACATTAACAAATTTTCAGCATCAGTCTTATACCTAGCTGCTTTTTTTAGGCAACAGGAGAGCTGTGAAAAGTGCTTTGCATATATAGTGATCTTTTGATCTTCATTTCCTGAATCCCTATTTTGTCTGCCAGACATAATTATGCCAGTTTACATTTGTTGGTAATGGAACAGCAGTTCATATTTAAGACATCACAAAAAGTGTTGTGATTTAGCCACTTCACTGCTCAGTGGTTTGTTTGCTCGTGTATTTCCACCCTCTGGGTGAACCTTTCTAATTTCTAAAGCTGCCAGCCAGTTTTTTGTTGCTAGGGTAGGGTGATTGTGTGGCTAGAAACCCCTTATTCTGAAACAATTTTTTAAATAAAAAAATTCATCTATCTAGGCCGATTAGGATGGCTTCCCCCTCTATCCTCCATATAATATTAGTGATTGCGCTTTCTGTTGCTGATGGAATGAGATAACCTTGGAACTGTATTCTCTAGATCAGTAGCCTCCTATTATTTCTGAATCTGAGACCCACCTTTAACTCAAAGATAGATTTTGGTGGCCCATTTCTTAATCGTTTATCATATATTTGTTTTGTGGTAGTGCTGCTGTTGTGAACCACCTTGGATCATGCTGTGACCCAGAAGTGAGTCCTGACCTCTAAGAGCTGAAGGCCAATGCTCTTGAGGGATCTGTCATATAGTGGTGGGAGATTTCTTATCAGCAAGCAGCAAAAAATATATTGTGTCCCCTTGGGGTTAGTCCCATGTATGAGGTTCCCTAGCCTAGAGGTACCATTGTGCAGTGAATGCTATAGTTGCTGTGGCATTTTACCAGGACTTATGAATTGTGAACGTGGTGGGTTGGCTTAGACAACCACTATTGTAAGAAGGGAACCTACTAATTTGCTCAAGTGAAATTATGTGATTGCACCTCCTGCTTGCCCTTAAAACTTAAGAGAGCAGATGGAGTTTGCATGGTACATACACAACGTTCACATCTAACAGCGACCCCAATTTCCCTCCTCATAAACAGGAATGCTTACATACAGTTCTTTATATCCTGGGTTGGAGGGTGAGGTTGACTGTTCCTACCGAGTTTTCTTTACTCCTTCCAACAGAATCACTGGCTCCATTAGGCCCTATCCACAAATGTGAGTGAAGTGGAGGGCAGTGGTCAGACATAGGATGTGAACAGGCGGGCCCTTTGGCAAAATGTGGCAGCGGGGTCTCATGCATATTGAGTTACCTTAGCTCTTGGATATTGGGTGGGAGCCACAAAGTTTATTCTCATTGCTAGGCTGACTGGCATTGGTGCATTAGCTGCTGAAGAGAAAGCAGTAGTGGGGGGTGTCAGCATAGGTAAAATTTGTAGTACAAATCATTATAATGTGCCTTGTTCCTGAGTAGGAAACTCCAGCGGGTGCAGAATGCTGCGGCGAGACTCCTTATTGGGTCCTCACTGCGAGATCACATTCACCCGGTGCTATACCAGCTGCACTGGCTCCCTGTGGAGTAGGCTCCCGGTGGAGTAGGATCAGGTTTAAGGTGCTGATTTTAACCTTTAAAGCCCTATACGGCCTAGGACCCTCGTACCTACGGGACCGCCTCTCCTGGTATGTCCCACAGAGGAACTTACGGTCTTCAAATAAAAACATCCTTAAGGTCCCAGGCCACAGAGAAGTTAGGCTGGCCTCAACTAGAGCCAGGGCTTTTTAGGCTGTGGCTCCAATCTGGTGGAACGCTCTGTCACCAGAGACTAGGGCCCTGCGGGACTTGACATCTTTCCGCAGGGCCTGCAAAAGGGAGCTGTTCTGCCAGGCCTTTGGTCGGGGTTCAGTCTGACTCCCTCTCCCCTTTCATAACTTGCATGAAAGTGGCCTCCCAATTTTTCTCACAGGCCCATATAAGTTCAGCACAAACAGTTGGGCCTGGTGAGCATTTAAAGTCCCCAACCCTAATCTGCGGGTTGCCATCTGATTGGATTTTATTCTGATCCTGATCTGATTTGAGGATGTATTTTAATTGATTGTCTGATTTTATGTTAATGTGTTATACATTTGATGTTAGCTGCTCTGAGCCTGGCTTCGGCTGGGGAGGGTGGGATATAAATAAAATTTTTTATTATTATTATTATTATTATTATTATTATTATTATTATTATTATGTGGGACCTGTTTCCTAGTAGATACGCCACAGGATCAGGTTGTTAGTAAATGTTTTCAAACTCTGAACCCAACTTTAGAGCTTCATCATATATGCCAGACTTCCCTTGTAGGCATGAGGGACACATAGGTCAGAAACAATTGTTGGATACTGTCAATCACTGTTGCATCCAACCCAGCAAATGATAAACTGAAAATCCTCAGTTGGCAAGGAGAGAAATGAATCTGCTCGAGGGCTACTTCTCTAGCTTAATAGTACACTTATAAAAGCCAAGCCAACACCTTCAGATACGCTTGTTCACTTCTCTTCTGCAGGAAGCTCCCCAAACTACATCCCTGCTCTTTATGTGTAAACAGACATAGCCTTAGGACTTTCCCTCTTCCATTTCTTTCTGCCCACCAACTCAGACTGCCCCCCATCCCCACTCTCTGTGTCCATTGGGATCTCTTGCAACCGCTCACCACCTGCCATCCTTCCCTCCCTCCTTCGGCTGTCAAACATTAAGTTATCCCACAAGGACCACCTTGCAAGCTCTAGGTACCGCTGTCATGCATTCCACCAGACACAGGGTTGTTATCAATCCATGCTCCTACTCTGTCTTCCAAAATAGCAGCATCTTCTGTTCCTTTCAGAGCAGCCGGTATTAACCCCTGCACCAGGACCTGGGCTACCACCACCACTGAGTTGCTGCACCTGCCTAAGTGAGCTATCTGCCCAGCCACTAAGCACATAGTCCTAACAGAGTAGGTTTCTTTTAGAAGCCATATACATCTGTGTGGCTCAGGGTCCCCCAGATATGCAGAAACCTGTATTCTTACGGGTAGCCCCATTTTGTTTCCAACCCATTTGAGCCAGCCAATGAGCCACATTGCTATTGGAAGGGGAAAGTGGTGCCTGCAGCTTGAGTTCAGAATGCTAGTTACGTCATTCTGTTACCCTTCCTTTGTTCTCAGTTTCTCCCTGTCATCTCCAGTTGGTGTATGGTTAAGAGCGGTAGACTTGTAATCTGGTGAACCGGGTTCGCTTCCCCGCTCCTCCACATGCAGCTGCTGGGTGACCTTGGGCTAGTCACACTTCTTTGAAGTTCCTCAGCCTCACTCTCGTCTCACAGAGTGTTTGTTGTGGGGGAGGAAGGGAAAGGAGATCGTTAGCCGCTTTGAGACTCCTTCGGGTAGTGATAAAGCGGGATATCAAATCCAAAACTTCTCTCTCCAGCCCTCAGTATTTCTTGCTCACTGAGCATATTTGGGTGCTGGTGAGGTTTCCCTCCCCCTCCATTTTAAGTGTGAGAATGGGCAATGGCAGCTAAATGAAAATCCTGAATTTCTCCTCTCATTTTTCTAGGCATCTCAGGGAACATCTAAAAATGGCCTTTTCTCTTGTGGACCAGGCAGCAGTGAGAAAGTTTTCATTTCTCTCTACTTGCCTCACTTTCCCGATCATCCTTTCCCAGTTGCTCAATTACATTTTCTCACCCACTTTTCTGCATCTCCCTCTCAACAGTCTATCAGCATTCTGTGTTCAGTGAGCATGCTCTATTCCCATAGGGCTTGACTTGTCCATTTGGTGTGTGTGTGTGTGTGTATTGGGGGGGGGTCCCTGTCTATTCTTAGCAAACATCAGGTTTGCTGTGTGTGACTTAGAATCATAGAACTGTAGGAAGGGGTCCTGAGAGTCATCTAATCCAACCCCCTGCAATGCAGGCATCTCAACTAGTTCATACGTGACAGATGGCCATTCAACCTCTGTTAAAAAACCACCAAGGAAGGAGAGTCCACCACCTCTCACAAGAATCAGTTCCACTGTTGAAAAAGCTCTTACTGACAGAAAGTTCTTCCTGATGTTTAGTCTGAATCTCCGAAGAAAGCTAATTCCAGGTAAGTTCTGTGGCCTGGAACTTCTCCCATCTTGGATAAGTGGGGCAAGGGTAACTGTGACAGAAGCCAGAGCCTCATTTCTCTAAGATTAATCTATGATGGCATTAAGAAACACATGGGGTCTCTTCTAATGTAATATATGAAAGATGCCTCCCCCAGTACCATCCAGTCCATGCACTGAGATTAGTTGGAAAGGCCCAGTTAGTAGTCCAGTCATTAACAGATGTCTGTTTGACTGGTACATGCACTGAAAAATGCATATAAAGTGGTACCTTGGTTCTCAAACGCCTTGGTACTCAAACAACTTGGAACCCACACCCAGAAGTGTTCCGGTTTGCGAACTTTTTTCGGAAGCTGAACGTACTCCATTTTGAGTGTTACGCTTCCGATTTGAGTGCTACACTTCTGTTTTGAGTGTTAAGCTGAGGTCTGTCTGTTTTTGCTATTTATTTTGCGTTTTTGTTTTCGCTGTTTTTTTGTTTTGTTTTTGTGACTGTGTGGAACCCAGTTCAGCTACTGATTGATTGATTGATTGATTGATTGATTGATTGATTGACTGATTGTGTGACTGCAGTACATTGTTTATTGCTTTCATTTTATGGATGAATGGTCTCGTTAGATAGTAAAATTCATGATAATTGCTGTTTTAGGGGTT